AAAGTTAATTTGGTTTATTTTGCATTTATGCTTTACGTGTATTTTCGTTTATTGGTCACGTGGTGTTACGTTCATTTGCATAAGTAGGTCAAGGTGGGAAGTACGTTAGGCACGAGGGCATATGGTTTTTTACCAGCGTGAGAGAGGCAGCAGAAATGTCTGTGAGCTTGCTTGGACTGTGTGAATAAACCTCCTCAAACTCAATCCTGGTATGGACATTTTGCTTTGGTACCTCTGAACCTGCGTAAAGCCAAACTATGACGTAGCCTCAAGTGGCCATTTGAGAAGTTTATTGTTTTTCTTTTGTTTTGTTTAAGTTTATGGACAAATAGCCACTACAATTGGGTATGGGCAACAGGTAGGCAGCAACGTTGACAGCTATTCATCAAGTCATCGCTAAATTAGACAGTCGTGCTAAAAGTGTGTTGTTTTATTAAGGCTTTGTGTCAGGTGAAAAAAAAATTAATTTAACGAGTGAAATCTTGTATTATTCCTGAGATCGTTTTGACGGGATACGATTCCAAAAAACTTTGAATCGAATAAATAAACCTGGAAACACCCATAAGTATTAGTATTTTAATTTTACAGTTGTGGAATAAAATAAAATTATTATTAAAAAAAATATATTATATTTATACACACACACACACACACACACACACACACGGGTGAAACTCGAAAAATTAGAATATTGTGCAAAAGTTGATTTATTTCAGCAATTCAACTTAAAAGGTGAAACTAATATATTTTATAGACTCATTACATGCAAAGTGAGATATTTCAAGCCTTTATTTGTTATAATGTTGATGATTATGGCTAACAGCTTAATGTCAAAATTAGAATTCTGTGAAAAGGTTTTCATATCTGTAAGCCATAATCATCAAATTATAACAAATAAAGGCTTGAAATATCTAAATTTGCATGTAATGAGTATATATAATATATTAGTTTCACCTTTTAAGTTGAATTACTGAAATAAATCAACTTTTGCACAATTTTCTAATTTTTCCTAGTTCTAGTTTTACCTGTGTGTATATATATATATTACAATTAAAAGATAAAATACACAAATATTTCTTATTTTGTTTATTTTATTTAGTAATATTATAGTCATATGAATCATAACATATTTGCCAACTTTTGTAGCCCTACAAAAAAGCACAACAAATCTAGAGCTTTTTTTCTCTCTGCAATTTAAAAAAAAAAAAAAAAAAGTTTTAGTTCTCCACTTTTTACCAGAACAATTGCAATCACATTTTCCCCCAAATCATGCAGCCCTGTGTGTGTACATCAGTGCTGTGCTGTCAGTTGATTCAAACAACATTTTTAGTAGCCAACCGATTAATCTCAAGTTTTCTTCGTGTGGATATCCATACCTTTGCTGTGCCCATTATTTTGGGGAACAGATATGAAGAGCAGCCCTCCGGACTCTGACCCAACTGACTGAAGGCGGGTGTGTGAAACGTCGCCTAAACACACAACAAATGAGGAGGTGGGAGCCAAAATACAGTTAGATATATAGATACAGTTAAACAGACGGACATTATTGATATACTGACGAAAATCAGCTCACCCTGTCTGTGGCATAAACAACATCAAACAGTCCCAGCAGGGTGACGGATACACCCACCGCCGGCCCGTTTATCACTCCAATCAGAGGTTTGGGGAAGTCAATGTACGCCTTCACGTACCGCCTAAAACAACACAAGCACACGTGTCCATAAATCTAGAGCTAAAACGGATTATAAACTAGTTTCAGTTTCCAATAAAGCGAAATAGACTTCACTTCAGCAACTCCCCAGATTGTTTAGCCAGGTCCTGCACTCCACCCTCAGGGATCTTCGTAAAGTTGTTCAGGTCGTTTCCGCTGCAGTAATAATCCCCATTACCTTTAGAGTCAGAGAGAGGAGGGTGAGAAAGGATCTGCAAACGCTGAATCCCATGAGGAATCGTCTTTTCCAGCAAGATCCAAAGCTTCAATCAGCTCGTTGTACATCTACAGGAGGCAAAAACAAACATTGTCAACTTATTTATACAAACGTCTAAGCACCAGTGTTGTTTCTGTTGAGTAAAACCGGAAAAAAATAGGCTGGAATACAACAAATATAAGTAAAAAATTCAATTAAAATGAGACTAACTGAAATAAAAGTTAAAATAAAAATTAAATTTGAATAGAAATACTAAAATAAATAAAAATGACAAAACTTAAAACAATGAATCAATACTACAATAGTATACGGAAAATATCAAAACAACACTGCTAACATTTTGTGTGATAAAACAAATTGAAATCAATTTTCATTTAGTTTAACTTGATGTACTAAAATAAATAAATTAATAAAAGCTACATAGACAAAATTACTAACATTTTAATTCAAATCAAAACACAAAATATAAAAATATGAATAAAAACCAAAATAGTATATCAATAATCTCAAAACAACAAATCTCAAAGCTAATGACAATAGTAGATAGTAATGTTAAAATCTCATTATTATACGACTCTCTGGGATACTTTTGATTGGTCAATCGTTGCAGTCTTCAGTCAATTATTCATGTGTAATATGACCACTGTCCTCAGACAACTGATGTATTAGAAAAAGTGAGTTTTCTCCTGACCTCTGCAGTGATGGCGTTTTTCTTCCCAGGTCTGTTGAGGCGTATGGGGGTGATGTTGTCCTCTGTGGTGACCAGCAGGGTCTGGAAGGCCTTCGAGCTCCCGGTCGTCTGCGCCGCCACTGCAGGAGCTTCTGATCCCACCAGAGACTCGATGAGATCCACGTACTGCTGCCTGGCCTCCTCCTGACACATGAAGCACACGAGGATCACATGATCGAGCTGTTCACATATATGTATATATATATATATACATTGTATATATAAAGTAATACAAATTATCAAAACACAATTATCATGAATATTTTATATTAATTTTAATATAACTCGCATGCAAACTCCTAAATAGCAATAAAGGTGTAAGCCAATAAAAGGAGCAGCAGTGATATTATAATAGTCTTAGTTAAAATTGGGATGGATTTTTATGGATGGATAAAGCTTTTAAACATAATTCTATTTATCTCAAATTTTGGTCACTTTTTATAAAAACCTTTCTATTTAATTTCGGACACTTTTTGTGTATATATATATATATATATACACACACACACACTTTCAATCTGATAAAAATTACAAAAATTAAAGATTAATAGTAATATTTTTGAAAAGCTAAATAAAGTTACCAAAATTAAATAGAAAGGTTTTTATAAAAAATTACCAAAATAGATTAAAAAAAAAAGATACATAAATATTTTTAAAAGCTTTTTAAAATATTACAAATTTTTAATAATCCAGAACAATTTTAATGTGACGTATTTACACATTACCTATGTACCTACTATAGTAATAACAGTAAATGATGCATAATAACAAGCAACTAACCCCAATCATAACTCTACAATAAGTAGTTGATTTTAATATTAATCAGTACATATTTGAGTAAGTACAACGTAACTACATCACCTTACAATAAAGTGTAACCCAGTTTTTTACATTATCAATAAAATAATTGGTTGTGTAAATAATCACACATTTAAATCTGTAGTAATACATGAAAAGCTGATCCAGAATTGGGCCAAGCAACTTTAATTTGGTCTTACTCTTTAGTTGAAAATAAAAGACAGAACTCATGGATGTTGCCGTCACCTGTGACACGGAGCCCAGACTCTTCCATGCGTCCCATTTGGCTTTGTTCACAAAGTCCAGCATGCCGGGTTTGGGGGTGTTGCAGGGTCCTTGTGTGGCCTGAGCGTTTGCAAAACAGAAATGAGCGAGGAGGAAAAAACTTTTACTTATAGTTCAGCTCAGTAAATGTATGCCTACAGCAATTAATTCAAATGCTAATAGCCAGATAAAGTACACTGATGGATTGGTCTGACACCTTCTGTCACATCCATGATGCGTCAACAGCAAATCCAAACCATTCACTAGTCTGGGTAACATTTGAAAACATCTCTTATGCTCACCGAGGCTGCATTTAGTTGATTGAAAATACAGCACTTTTGTGAAATATTATTACAATTTAAAATCATCTATGTGAATATATACAGTGATGTGAATACGTTTGGACACCCATGCTAAAGTTGCCTAAAAAGAGGAATAAAAAAAATCATCTTTTGGATATTGATCTTAATGCCTTAATTAGAAAAATGATGAAAACTCCAACCTTTAAGGACACAAATTTTCTTTGTGAATAAATAATGTATCATAAATAAATAAATGTTTTTCCTTAAAATACAGGGTGCATAAGTCAGGGCACCCCTATGTTAAATTCCCATAGAGTCAGGCAGATTTTTATTTTTAAAAGTCAGTTATTTCATGGATCCAGGATAATATGCATCCTGATAAAGTTCCCTTGGCCTTTGGGATTAAAATATCCCACACATCATCACACACCTTCCACCACACCTAGAGATTTGCATGGTTTTACTTCAGTTAGCCTAATAGCTGGTTTCATGTCAATGTCAATCTCTAGGTATGGTGAATGGTGTGTGATGATGTGGGGATATTTTAATCTAGCTAGCCTCATGCCCTATTCACTTTTTCACCATTCGTGGACAAACGTGGGCACAGAGGTCTCAGGTGAGATCCAGTTTTTTTATTTTTTATCACTGTCAAATGAGAGTTTCAGTGCAGCTTCAAAGGGCTTTAAACGGCACCAGGCGATGAAAAAGGGTCTTATCTAGCAAAACGAGCGGTCATTTAAAAAATAAATAAAAAGGTTTAAGTTTTATAAGCTCAAATGCTCGCCTTGCTTTGCTCTGTTCGTGACTCTCCTGTTCAAACCTGTTCATCAAAATCTTTTTTTCGAGTCATGACTCGAAGGGTCCTTGATAAGACCCTCATTCATCGTCTGGTGTCGTTTAAAGCCCTTTGAACAGTTTGCACTGAAACTGTCTTTTGGACCATGAACCGTTTGCTTCCCACTGAAGTCCATTATATGGAGAAAAATCCTGGAATGTTTTCATCAAAAACCTTAATTTATTATCGACGGAAGAAAGAAAGTCGTGGACATCTTGGAAGACATGGGGGTGAGTAAATTATCAGCAAAAGTTTTTTTTTTTTTTAAGTGAACTACTCCTTTAAGCTATGTCAATCAAGAGCAGGACTTTATTGGTCAGTTTCTCACCTGTTTAAACAGCGCATAGATCTTCAGTTTGACTTGATTCCCTGGATCTTCCTTCAAAGTGCCCAGTTTTTCTTTGGCCCTGTTGAAATCTTCCACTGAAGCTGCCATAACTGAAGCGGTGCTGTGCAACTGAACACACGGTATCAATGCAGCTCTGGACATACATAATAAACAGAGCACAGTCTGATCAAAACACAGCCAGAGCTACACTTCAGGGTCCAATATGAATGCGCGCGCACTATCAGTGTGTGCGTGCGCGCGCGCGCTTGTGTGTGAAGTGTGTGAGAGGTGAAGATGTGACACAAAGGTCAGAGGGAACACAAGGTACAGGACAATTTCTATGGCAAAAAAACACAAGATGATTTACACAGTTATGTCCACAACAATGATATAAGTAACGTTACATCAGCAGATTATAAAAATAAAAGCGTCTACTGCGGTCAAGTGGGCCGCGCGTGGAAAATACACGGTCAAGCCAGCCGCACATTTTTTTTATATGCGCGTCAAATCCTGCACTTACGGTATGGGTGCTGAAAGACGCCAAAATTGATTTTAAAACTCCTTTGCCTGTTATTCCATCGTATTAGGACACAAATAATGCAATTTCATGATTTTTTCCTAAAACATGACTTTTAATATTGTTTGTTTGTTGTTATTGTAATGTTTATAGGCTTAAATATTAATTATACCAAGTATAATGTATTCATGTTCATATTATTAAACATTATCATACATTTTTATTGTTAGTATTTACATTTTTTAGAGACTACTTTCTGCTATTTTCCATCTTATTTGGAGACAAAAAAAATATATATTTTTTAAAAAAACATGACTTTTTTCATTTTTTATTATTATTTTAATGTTTTTAGGCCTATATATGATTAACATTAATTTAAATTTTATTTTTTAAAGATTTAATTTATTCATGCTCGTGTTAATGTTAATTATCATACATCATTAGTTTTTTTTACATTTAATTGTTAATTAGAATGTTTATATATATATATATATATATATATGTGTGTGTGTGTGTGTGTGTGTGTGTGTTACACGTATATATATATATATATATATATAATTTGATTTTTTATTATACATTATTATTGCCTACTTTATTAATGTGAATGAAATTGAATAATAATATTAATTATCGATATATTTATTAAACATTTTTTTGTTGATTTTAATGTTTGTATACACTCATTATTATTATATGTAATGATGATTATTTACTTATTTTACTTTTTTATGTTAATGTAAATGACAAATATGATGCAACAGGCTTTTAATCATTCAATTATCATTGAATTTCTATATATATATATGCACTTCCATGTTCAAACGATATAAACGTCCCATGTTCAAACACTCATAAAAATTGTTCATTCATAGGTTTGCTCATTCTCTCAATTGATTTCTGTTAAGAGGGACGCTGGCTATTACTGTATGTATTGTCAAGTCATTTTACTGTATATTTTTGGAGAAAAATGCAGGCAAACCCAGCCCAATCATCAAAGTGTGTTATTAAACCACGTCCCATGTTCAAACACTCATAAAAAGTGTTCCTTCATAGGTTTGCTCATTCTCTCAACTGATTCCTGTTCAAAGGGACCCTGGCTATTACTGTGTTTATTGTCAAGTCATTTTACTGTATAGTTTTGGAAAAAAGTGCAGGCAAACCCAGCCCAATCATCAAAGTGCGTTATAAATAAAAATAAATAAATAAAGCCTTTTATGTATATATTTTGATGATGGCTTGTCATTTATGAGAACCTGTTATATTTGAGTGAAAAGAATCTTTTAGCCATTTTGTTGTCTATTGTATGTATATGTAGTCGTTTAATAGTTGTCTAAGTGATGACTAGTCTATTCTTGGGCTACATTTAGACGTCTATTAGATTTTCACTGACAGCCCAAATTTAGCCTTGTTTTAGCCTAGACCCATATGCACTGTCTATTAAACGTATAAATGTAGTCGTTCAATATCTAATTGTTGACTATAGTCTATTCTTGGGCTATGGTTAGACGTCTATTAGATTTTCACTGACAGCCCAAATTTTGCCTTGATTTAGCCTAGACGTCTGGGCTATGTTTTGACGGCTATTAGACGTCTTTTAGACGCAAAATTGCTTGCTGGGTAACGTTACTTCAGGCAGATTAAAATAGCATCAATTTGTGAAGAACAAGGTTGCAAATGTTAGCAATTACCAGTAACGTTACGTACCCGATTTCAATGGACTGATGGAAGAATAAATGTTATCTAATCAAAGCAGACGAAACCGTCACCATCCACTCAGATAACGAGAACTAATAACGTTTTATTTACGCTATAAAAATACATGTGTAACGGTAACAGTAAATTACATAACGTGAAAATAACTTACCTTCGTCCCAGAATTGCTTCTTTTCCGTCTTCTTGAATGACGGCTTACTCCCAGAATGTACGTTTAGAACTAACCGCCTAAAAATTCAAAATTCGACCGCGAAGATCCCATGATGCAACGCGGTGGCTGTAAAACCATTGTAAAACTCCGTGAATACAGTGAAATTACAATAATAATACAGGACTGTCCATTAATTTCCCATGGTGCATTGCTTTTTACAGGTAAAACGCAAATACAATACATTGTTGTAAAAATTTCCTGTAAAAATGACATCAATTGCTAACAGTGTAGGCGCTGCACTTGCATGACTGCATCAGTCACTAAACTCATGTATAAATCCTCCCCCGTGGCTTCATTGGCTAGTAAAGTTCAATCTTATGCACACTTCAGAATCTCACCGGAAGTAGTTCGTCATCTGGGTACTTTTTGCCTAGTGTTTTAGGAATACTGTGAATTTGACACTACTTTTGCCACATACTTAGCCTGGGAAAACCCAGACAACTTTTAACAAATTTAGATTTGCTCTGAAGTTAGTCTTGCAAAGATCTCATTCAAGCCCATTTCCAACACGTCAAAAAAATTGCAGCACCAATCAGAAACGTTGGGGCGGGCACGATGACGACAGTGCTGGGATTTTAAAGCAGATTTTGTAGCCTACAATACAGGGACGTGCACAGGAATTTTGAGGGGCAGTTGCTCTGACCTGAAAAAAGGGCACCCCCCCCCCTCCTCCCCCCTCACGGGCTATATGAAGGAATATATTCACTTGAATTTGTCACCTTCCAAATTGCCTTATCTGGCTGTGTTTATGTCCAAACGCAATGCCTCATCTTATGGTCTTATTATTATTTATAAAGATTGCAAAATGTCAGAGATGAGACAAATGAGCAAAAGAGTTCCTCATATTGTTGTTTACTGATTTTTTAAATTATTATTATTATTTATTTTATTATTTTATTTGAAAAGAAATAATCTGGATTGAATGGAAAAACTCAAAAAAAGAAAAAAACGCTTAGATTTCGGGAAAAAAATACAATCTTTTTTTTGCCAATCCTGACCTCCCCCTGCATGGGGCCCTAAGCAAAATTCTGCTATGGGGCCCTCTACCTGATCTGTGATGCCGTGAGCCATGTAAACCATTTGCCATTGCCACTCAATACCGCCCAATACAATCCTCCCTCCTTTAAACAAAACAGTCAAAGAACAAGTACAACAATATAGAACAGAATGAGGTTCAAACAAACAATATTTACTGAATAAAGCGTTTTTATAGAATGTTAAGATAACAAGTGAATATTAACGTAAACATAAATAAGAAGAAAATAATAAAGTACAACCCTGAACTTTTGGCGTTTGGGATTAACTTTGGTTCTCTCTACAGCCAGGGTATTTTCGGAATCAGTAGCCTATGATTTTTTTTTTTTTTTATGCATGTTGAAGCAAATCTTGATTTGTTGTTATATACTGAGGGATTTGCATTCATATTGACCAGAATGTCCAGCTAATCATCATTTTAAATTCAATATAGCCTATAAATCAATAGTCAATCAATGTCAAATTGCCAATACATTGGTTTCTTGCATAATTAGTGCAGTTGTTTAGAGTTTTTAACTACACTGAGACTAGATAATCAGTGTCTTTATAATGTGTACTTTGATTGGGAGTGCCATCATTCACGTATTTCTGGTCTCCACATTTCTGCTTGAAAAATGCGAGTTTCATTTCGTGCACGCGCATATGAACGCAACACACGCGACGCGGTTATGTTTTCCGAGCTGTAGTAAACAAACACTGTTGTTGCACTTTGTCGTTTATAAAAAACAAAACGTAATAAATAATGGTATTTTACTCTCACTTTTGTCAGGCAAAAAGTGATGCAAGAGATGCACTGCCTGCCCAGATAGGTGAGCAAGACCAAAAACCCATCAAACTTTGCTGACATCAAACTAGAGAGGAGAGAACACAAGTTTACCTGACTGCTGTTCCCGCAATTCACTCTCATGTTTTTCTTCTTCCTCTTTTCGTGACGAGAAGGATAGTTTTGCTTCATTTTGTCATGGACTTCGTACACATTAATTAGCGCGCGACACGAGATGGAGGCGCGGCCTGAGCAATATGGTCGCGTGAGGCACTGGAGCCCAATATTATGAAGCTGCAGACTCGGAGCCTGCATCTACAGTCCCCCACCGAGAGTCCCGCATTCTCAGACCCCTCGTTTTTCGAACACAGCGCCTCCTGCTGTTCAAAAGATCGAATAACACCCGCACACAGAGTACAGCGCACGATTATCCAAATGCAATTAAAAACAATAGGATGTAAATATTACGGTCTCCGAATAAATTATCCAATAAATATTTGCGTTCCCTGCTTAATACATGTGCCAAAAAAACTCATTGTTACTGATGCAAGGGATACAATTACAGATTGAACTATCTTCAGAAAAATAGTATGTGATATTATATTGCTACAAAGTTTTTTTATATTCTTTTATTCAAATTCCAATTTTTCTTTCAGTTCAACCTATAATGGTCTAATTAACATTACGATGCTAACATTACAAAATCTCTTTTGTGATATTTATAATGCGAAGCAAAACAAATCAGAATAGACAAAACACCAATAATAAACAATTCTGTATTTTATTTAATGATCACCTAAACATCATCTTGCTGAAAAAAAAAGGAAGAAAAAAATGTGTTCGTGACTTTACTTTTCGTCTTCAGTTGCATTAAAAAAACTAATTTATAAGTCGCTTTGCATAATCATAAAATGATGTTGCTGAGTTCGGCAGGGGCGACCGATAGCACATGTCTTATGATGTTTCAAAGCTAAATAAATTTTAAACGTTAGCTATCTAAATATTTTCGGGGGGAAGAGGGCGAAAAAACATACGGCTCAAATCTTGTTACAAACTAACTTTACAAATATTCAATGGACTATGTTGTATCGATGAGCTAAATTAGTTTTATTAAAAAATAAATCAAACGAGTAGGCTACTACGATTCGCTAAATAAAATTGAAGATAGCCTATACTCACGTTTTGGCTCAAGTTCTTCACATGTTTATCCGATACAATTTGATAGGAGGCGCTGTCTCGAAAAACGAGGGGGTCTGAGAATGCGGGACTCTGGGTGCAGGGGGACTGTAGATGCAGGTCTCCGAGTCTGCAGCTTCATACTACTCCTGGAGCCACGTAAACAGTTTGACTTTCCCTTTCAGTGCCCGAATGGAAGTAAATGAGGCTTTGCGATTTTTGTATTATTTTTTTGTCTAGGCCTCCGTGAAATTTTACATCCATTGTACGATTTTTTTTTTCCTCGGAAGGGCAACCTGAGTCGAGAAGGGCATATGGGCAGTTGCCCGGGCAACCTGAGCAACCCCCCTGTGCACGTCCCTGCTACAATACAAAGATGGATGCCGCCATCGAACATCACTCATTCGAATCAGCTATCGCGTCTATTTTAAGCGATTTGAACGTTTCCTTTTTGTTAAAAACCGAGCAAAGAACAACACTCGGGGATGTTTGTCCGCCGTTCTGCATATGTCATCTCCTTCATCGCTCTGATTGGTTTTAGGTCTACCCGCGATGTCCGTTGGTGACGGCCCTCTGGAAATTATTTGTAAATGACACTTTGCCAGACCATAACTCAGTTACAACTGAGAATGGTCAGAGCCCGTCTAACGGAGAGCCTTGGCACTTCCTATTAGCCCCATTGTGTATCACCTTGGTTGCAGTTCCAACTTCCATTAGAATTCCACTGGAGGTGATCGCGGGCGAGTGCAGAATGAATGGGAGTCTATGGAGCTAAACGGCTAAATGTGTCTCTTTCTCCTGCATAGATTTTATTGTTGATTCCGCAAGTTCAATATAGGTCTTAGGCCAAAAGTCGAATGAACGAGTACTTATGTCCTTTCGATTTCTTACAGGTTAGGCTGTTGTTGGCTGGAACACGCTACAATTCTGCTATTGTGTGACGTCGTCACAGTTTTGAACGGATTTTTAGAACAGATAAGTGAACTTAAAAATTCAATTTTCAGCTGAGTGTATTATCTTAGCCCTCCCTTTTGAATGCGACTTTCAAATTACTTGACAAAAAATGACATCCTGAGAAAAGTTTTTTTTTTTTTTTTTTATTGCCATATAGAATTCAAGTACAAACAATTAAGGCATAGATCAACAATCATACAGTTACATTCGTGCTGATACATCACTTAGAGAAGAAAAAATACATAGAAGAGAGAGAAAAAAATATAAAAAAATAAAAAATTAATAATAAAAATAAAAAAAGGGTGAGGGTCTTATTCCAATAACCTAAACATTTCCAAAACAGAGAGAAATTTCAGGGCTTTTGAGTCCGTCATCCAAAGAAGAGATTTTACAAATAACTTCAAGTCATTCTTCCAACCATTGAAATGGGGTTTGATCTTTACAAATTTACATCTGTGAATGAAGTGTTTACCCAAAACAATCAGATTGTTTATCAAAAAATCTAAGTTTTTATCATTCAAAAGCACTCCAACTTTAATTGAGCTTACATTCAAAGGGAGAAGCGAAATCTCCTTGGCTTGTATCCAACTCTGAAATGCAAGCCAAAATTCTTGTACAACTTCGCATTGAAAGAAAATATGTTCAACAGTCTCAATTTCCTTCTCACAAAATCCACACGAATTGTTTTCCCAATTGAATCTTTCATGTAAAAAGGAGTTAGATGGATAAATGTCATTCAATATTTTAAATGTCACTTCTTTTGCCTTAGGAAAGATTGGGTATGATAAATACCACCTCCGTATCCTTTTTGCCTCTTCATCACTGAAATCTTTTAGAACATATTTTCTTTTCAGTTGACCAGGGAAATAATGTTTGGATAACACATTTCTAATAAACTTATTTGTAAACTGTTTACTCTTTAACATAACTCCTTCAATACAAAGAGGTCTCATTTCTGAATGAGAGTTCGAGTACATCACAAACTGTTTAATCATCATTTTCAGGGGTGCTGGGATGGCCTTTAACACTTTATTATACTCTCTCCTTGGGCACTGGAAATTGAATTTATCACAAAAATCTCTATGATTCAACAAATCACCAAAATTATCCAACAAATGTGTTAAAGCCCATATTCCTTTTTCCATCCAAGTTCCTAAAAACAAGGATTTTCTATTACACAGAATATACCTGTTGTTCCACAGAGGTGTATTATGTGGAGTAAAATTGTGTTTAAAGATTAGGTTCCAGTACAAAAGAACTTGCTGATGGAAATCAGATAATTTTACAGGGAGTTTGCTTAGATCATAGTCACACCGCAAAATAAAATCAATTCCCCCCATTTTTTGAAAAATTGCAATTGGGATGCTAAACCAAAAGGAATCATTATGACACAAAAAAGAATTTAACCATTTTAGTTTTAGTACACCATTCATCACAGAAAAATCTATGGCATTTATGCCACCCTCTTCGATACTCTTAATCATGTCATTTTTGCGGATATAATGGCATTTACTCTTCCAAATAAAATTGAAATTTATCTTATTTATTAATTTAATCATGTTATTTGAAATTTCTAGAGAAAAGGCAGGGTAAATGGCTCTTGATATACTCTCCATCTTGGCTAGAAGACCCCTGCCAAAAATTGTTAGATCCCTTTGCCGCCAAGAATCCAATATTACTTTACATTTATCAATATTTTTAAGAATGTTTTCTTTTTCCCTTATATCTTTATTTCTGGTGATCATGATGCCCAAATATTTGACTTCTGATTTAACCTGTATGTTATCAATTAAGCGAGCAGGTTGGTCATGTAAAGCTACGATTTCACATTTATTAGTGTTCAATTTAACACCTGATGCCTTTGAGAACTGACTGACTGAATCAAGCGCTCTGGAAATTTGCCTTATATCTTTTAGAAAAAGAGTCGTATCGTCCGCAAATTGACTTATTATGATGTGCTTTCCCAGGATGTTAAAGCCATCAGAATGGATCATTTTAATCCTAATAGACAATAGTTCAGCAACCAATATAAATAATAAAGGAGAACAGTTGCAGCCTTGTCTAAATCCTGAGAAAAGTGGATTTCTGGGGGTGAAACACCATATACTGTATACTCCCATTCATTCTGCACTCGACCTCGAGCGCCCCCGCATGGACAGAGACGTGTTACTGCAGCCAGTCCAGAAACCGGAAGTAACCAGCCAGTGCCAATTCTCTTCAATTAGACATTCTCTGGCCTTATTCGACATGCCATTTTGATTTATATGTTCTGTTATTTTTAAAGCATTAACAAATTTGATCAAGTCTGCGTTACTCTTTAACAGGAAGCAAAGAAAAGGAATATTAATTAATTATTAAATATTAAATTCAAAGTATTAAAGTAGAATTAATATTAAATATTAATTCAAAGTATTATTTTTAGGATTAAACTTCACTTTAAATTACTGAAGTAATGCATAACCATACAGTACATAAGTACTGTACATCTGCATTGCATCGAGTCCACCAACTTCTGGCACCTAATCAGTCCATGATGAACTACATTCTACAGTTCCTGTAAATTTTGGGGTTTTGTTTCAGAAACGCTGACACCATCAATCCTTTTTGTCTGCAACCAAGATGTTGCTCGCGTACTCGTGTTTATGGTTGCTATAAACAACCATACTTATAAACTATATTTTGATGTATTCAAACTGAACCATGATCAACACCAAAGTATGAAAAACATCCCTATAACATCATTATAGCTAAGCATCATTATATATGAGCATTGTTCCTGCACTTCTTTGTTTTCCCTCAATCACTTTTTAATCAAATCAGGTTGTTCCTCTGAACAATGTTAGGAACGGCCCATTTTACTTCTAAAATAAATTTCCTTCTGAATTGCTATCAATGTGAGAAACATTTGCTTACCTTCCTTAATAAAGGACATCATAAAATCATATCTCAACAGGCGTCGTTTGAAATGGTTAATGAGCACAATTGCCAAGAAGCAACAATGTATGAAAGTGGAATGGGATTTATTTATTTATTTTAAACCGTAAATGAATATTTGCAGTATGCAATATAGTCACTCAGTTTTACTACAAATACTTAATTATTTTTGTTTTCTTTCAGTAAAAACACATTGTCAGAGAAGATATTAAATGGGAAGTTATTTTGGCACATTAGTGAAAATAAAATGATGCATATAAGAATAAGAATTGTCCGTATTGATTTTAGTGACGGTTATATGGAGACTTTTATTTTGAAGTGAGAACTTAGGGCTTTTGTTTTGAAAATGAATTTTCACAGCCGTTTGTTGTTTGTTTACACGTTTGATACGCTATCAGTATGCTATCTGAGTGAGATATACATTTAATCCGAATTAAGGTAATCGTTCAGCTTTTAGAACGTCACGGCGTTCATCAGTTCTTTTGGACCGTAATGCCATATATAACACATTCTAGCTGGATGATTATTAAACACTAGAGGAAGACATGTTAGCTAATGAGAGTAATGCTGCTGCTATCACATAGCCTTGTCAGCTATGAACTCTAACGTTAAAGCTCTTAACACGAGTGTAAACAAATAAACTGCACAGAACTTCACTTTCTACGGTATTCGTTCATAAGGTAAACAAGCATTTGCTAATAATACTGAGATCATACGGGGTTTTAAGTTAACTCCTCATACACCAATAAAAACACACCATGGCTCAAAGCTACCACAGAGACCCACATCATGACTCCGATTATAAACGTCCAAGAGACCCCAGCAGTGACTTTAACCGTGATAAACGACAGCGAGCATCCGACGAAGCCCAGCAGCACAGAGCCGCCGAGACCCTGAGCACTCGCAGACAACTGTACGAGAGGAACTTCCCTCTCTACAAGCAGCCGGTGGAGGTGGGCTGCTTCTCGCTGGACTCTCACAGGAACTTCTTCAATGACCAAAGGCAGATGAGATATTATGTTGAGCCCAGGAAAAGGCCGGATTTTAATTTAAGGGACGGATACACCAACCGCTTCGTGAAAAGAGACGATGGCGTGAAAGAGAAGCTTGATCACATTCTGAGGTGGATTCTGGCCAACAGAGACAAGATCAAAACCCGAGACCAAAGCAGGTGAGAGAGAGAGGCCAAATATTCTGCACACTATAAATATTTATTTAAGTTTTTAAGAATAACGGATAATTAAATACTGGCCCACATGAGCTCAAAAGCACATGAGCTTTTTTTTAAATATATATTTTTAATAATTAAAAATTAAATTGAATTCTAATTAAATTCTTCCATAATTGATTCACTCTCATGTCGTTCCAAACACCTCGTTCATCTTCGAAACACAAATTAGTTATTTAAAAATAAAAAAAACTGAGCGATTCCTGTTCTCTCCATTGAGAGCTAACTTACCCAAGCTACCGCAGACTGTGATCCTTCAAAAAGTTCATAAAGAGAATGTAAAACTAAATCCACATGTCCAAATATTTTAAAGAGACACGAGCGCTTTAATAGACCTTATGTAGCCCCGCCCCTTTTCAGCGCTGCGCTCATTGTCTTTTGACTTCCGGTCTGTATTTTCACAGCGATCTTGCACACAGCCAGGTATGAATGTAACGTTACTGCTCGTAAAAAAAATTCTGGTCGACATTAGTTAAGACATCTGCTTTACAATGCTTATGATAAACATTTCAATGCTCATGATAACTTTTGTTAACTCTACAATAAGTAAATCCACTTCACCACAATTATACTCCTCGACAGCGATCATAGACATATACACTAGACCTCACCTGGGGGTTCTAAGCATGCGTCAAAACCGCCGCCATCTTGGAACAGGGGTCTTGTCATAGAAAGTAGCTAGGTAACGCTGCTATCTCTGCCTTTACTTCGAATTCATTGATGGTGGCGGACTTTTGTGCAGCGTATGAAGTTCACGGATGAAATCTGAACTAGGAAGAATGTTTAAAAAAAAAAAAAATTAAATTTTTTTTTTCTTTCTGGAATCAATGATAAATACATGTCTGACCGTTGGAACAAACCAAAAAAACAAGAAAAATCGCATTCATGATGATTTATGGTGATTTTATTTGCGTTAGACCTGTCTACTACATTGACGCTGATGCATTAAAGTGGAGGGGCTCCCCTGTTTCAAGATGGCGGCTCTATTGACGCTAGGGCTGGGCGATATATCGAGTTTGTACGATGTATCGTTATATTTTTTGAAACGATATGGAATGAGGCAATACCGTTTATATCGATACAGTAGTTTGATATGAGCACATCTGAAAAATAGCGGAGGTTGCAGTGTGAGCTGCTGCAGTGAAAGTAGCTAGGCTACGTAGTACAATTTGTCCTAAACATGACACAAGCTTATATTAATTGCGTCAAAATCACTTTGATATAGTTAACAAGTTTAAGGCAGCTTGCCGCCCTGTCAAATGCTCTGACAGACACTGTTGCTGACTGACAAGATATACTTGCGCTGTTTAATGCGTTTGAGATGTGGTGCTTTCCTCAGTGCTCAACTTACATTTCACAGGTATATTCTCCATCTGTAAATGTTAGAAAGTAAAGCAAATATGTCCATTTCACAACAAATATGTCCATGTCAGAAGAGGACGAGTTTCTGCAAGTGAATCTCCGCTAAAATTCATGCTTAATTGAACGAGCGCCGGCGCGCGCATGCGCGTGAATAGTACTACGTAGTACGCAATAATTCTGACTAAAATAAACATATTGCTAAAATATTTGTTGTTGGAGAAAATAAATGTGCCATATGTGGAATTTTAAACCTACAAGTATATATTTTTAATGAAAGTGAAAGTAATTATAATGGGGTAATCAAATGCAGGCTAATATAATAGTTTGTGCTTTTGTTTTTATTTTCATTTTTAGTTTAGCCTATGGTCAATATAAAAACAAAAGCTTTTTGCACATAATATATTGCATAGCCTATATTATATTTGTTTCCATATCCTTCAATATCAACATTGTTTGTAGGATATCATTGGGCCGAATGTGAATATATATATATATATATATATATATATATATATTTTTTTTTTAAATATAAAGATTTTCTTTATCTAAATAGAAAACGTAGAAAGTACCGAGATATATATCGTATATCGCCATTTGACCAAAAAATATCGAGATATGATTTTTTGGCCATATCGCCCAGCCCTAATTGACGCATTCGTTCTAATGAACTGCCGTATCCAAGGTGAGGTCTAGTGTATATGTCTATGGACAGCGATGCCATAGAAATATACAGAGCGACAGCAAAACCGGAAGTTCAAAGACAATATTCTAAAGATGACGGCGCCCACGACGTTTCTCTGGTGCATAAGGTCTAAATATTGATTTTAAGCTTTTATTGATATAAAACTTAATCAGTGAACATAAACATAAACGAGAATGAACCTCATTGGTTCTTGCACGTCAGGCGAACATGCTTGACTTCCGTTTCTTGCCAATCATATGATTAAATGTGAAAAAAGCTTAATTCATCATTTAAAACGATATTGTCTTTTAAGAAAATTTGGACTAAACCGCAAATCATGGATTCGTTGACGATCTCTTCATGAACTTTTTGACGTGTCAAAGTGGTAGTTGCGTAGACTGTCAATAGAGGGACGGAAATATCTCATATTTCATTAAAAAGATCTTCATTTGTGTTTTGAAGATGAACTAAATATTTTTGGGGCGGCACATCACATGACTTTAAAAAGTTGACCCTGACTCATAAGGGTCTGTAGTAATCCTCTCCTGATATAATGCTGTTTACTTTTTACTGTATTTTTGAATAAAATAGATAAAATATAAGCATACCATTGTTGACCCTTGACATTGTAGAGTTATTATATAGATGACTAAGCAAAACAAAAATGAATGACTTGAAATAAAACAAACATTAAAACCTAAATATGAATAAAAGCTGCAGCTGCACAGATGTCTTGTTCCCGTCGTTGAGTTCTGGAGTGTGTTTGCAGTGCTCTAGGTGTGGACTTTGTGACATGGAGAGGACACCTAACCAAGGTCCTGACCACCCCGTACGAGACTCAGGAGGGATGGATGCTGGCCGCCTCCAAGTTCAGAGGCACCATCTACATCAGTGAGGTGGAAACGGAGGCGGCCAGAGCGAATCGAGTGACCCGGTCGGAGCGGCAGGAGGAGATGATGTACTGGGGCTACAAGTTTGAGCAGTACACCTGTGCAGGTTTGAGCCCGCCGTCCAGTATTATCAGACTGCTGATAGTGAAGATCTCGCCGCTCATCCACCACTGTGCTGTCTTTTAAGATGGCGTGGACGGCACTCCAGACCCGGGGGGCGTCGTGAACACCAACGAGGCGTTCTGTACGGTGGTTCAGACCCGTTTGGCCGACCACAAGCTGCTGTTCTCCGGGGAGGTGGACTGCCGGGTCAAAGACGCTCCTCCGGCTCCGGGGTGTTACGTGGAGCTCAAGACCTCCGCCGAGATCTGCACCCCGAAACAACGGAGTAACTTCCACAGGTGTGTTTCTCAGACCTGTAGATCATTTGCTTTGTTCTGAAATGGGGAGTAAAATTGTTATAATGGTGCATTTTCTTAAAATAAGTTTGCTTTAGTTAGTTATTTGATGCCATAAAAACGGTGCTCTGACATCATGATTGACAGCTGAGTTTTAGGACACCATTGGGTCACCTGATGGAGTTTTAGGACACCATTGGGTCACCTGATGGAGTTTTAGGACACCATTGGATCACTAGATGAAGTTTTAGGACACCATTGGATCACTAGATGAAGTTTTAGGACACCATTGGATCACTAGATGAAGTTTTAGGACACCATTGGATCACTAGATGGAGCTTTAGGACACCATTGGGTCACCTTATGGAGTTTCAGGACACCATTGGGTCACCTGATGGAGTTTTAGGACACCATTGGATCACTAGATGAAGTTTTAGGACACCATTGGATCACTAGATGAAGTTTTAGGACACCATTGGATCACTAGATGAAGTTTTAGGACACCATTGGATCACTAGATGGAGCTTTAGGACACCATTGGGTCACCTTATGGAGTTTCAGGACACCATTGGGTCACCTGATGGAGTTTTAGGACACCATTGGGTCACCTGATGGAGTTTTAGGACACCATTGGATCACCTGATGGAGTTTTAGGACACCGTTGGGTCACCTGATGGAGTTTTAGGACACCATTGGGTCACCTGATGGGAGTTTTAGGACACCATTGGATCACCTGATGGAGTTTTAGGACACCATTGGGTCACCTGATGGAGTTTTAGGACACCATTGGATCACCTGATGGAGTTTTAGGACACCGTTGGGTCACCTGATGGAGTTTTAGGACACCATTGGGTCACCTGATGGGAGTTTTAGGACACCATTGGATCACATGATGGAGTTTTAGGACACCGTTGGGTCACCTGATGGAGTTTTAGGACCATTAGGTCACTTGATGGAGTTTTAGGACACCATTGGGTCACCTGGTGGAGTTTTAGGACACCATTGGGTCATCTGATGGAGTTTTAGGACACCATTGGGTCACCTGATGGAGTTTTAGGACAACATTGGGTCACTAGGACACCATTGGATCACCTGATGGAGTTTTAGGACACCGTTGGGTCACCTGATGGAGTTTTAGGACACCATTAGGTCACTTGAAGGAGTTTTAGGACACCATTGGGTCACCTGATGGAGTTTTAGGACACCATTGGGTCACTAGATGGAGTTTTAGGATACCATTGGGTCACCTGATGGAGTTTTAGGACAACATTGGGTCACCTGATGGAGTTTTAGGACACCATTGGGTCACCTGATGGAGTTTTAGGACAACATTAGGTCACCTGATGGAGTTTTAGGACACCATTGGGTCACCTGATGGAGTTTTAGGACAACATTGGGTCACCTGATGGAGTTTTAGGACACCATTGGGTCACCTGATGGAGTTTTAGGACAACATTAGGTCACCTGATGGAGTTTTAGGACACCATTGGGTCACCTGATGGAGTTTTAGGACACCATTGGGTCACCTGATGGAGTTTTAGGACACCATTGGGTCACCTGATGGAGTTTTAGGTCACCATTAGGTCACTTGATGGAGTTTTAGGACACCATTGGGTCACCTGATGGAGTTTTAGGACAACATTGGGTCACCTGATGGAGTTTTAGGACACCATTGGGTCACCTGATGGAGTTTTAGGACAATATTAGGTCACCTGATGGAGTTTTAGGACACCATTGGGTCACCTGATGGAGTTTTAGGACACCATTGGGTCACCTGATGGAGTTTTAGGACACCATTGGGTCACCTGATGGAGTTTTAGGACACTATTGGATCACCTGATGGCGTTTTAGGACACCATTAGGTCACTTGATGGAGTTTAGGACACCATTGGGTCACCTGGTGGAGTTTTAGGACACCATTGGGTCACCTGATGGAGTTTTAGGACACCATTGGGTCACCTGGTGGAGTTTTAGGACACCATTGGGTCACTTGATGGAGTTTTAGAACACCATTGGGTCACCTGGTGGAGTTTTAGGACACCATTGGGTCACCTGATGGAGTTTAGGACACCATTGGGTCACCTGATGGAGTTTTAGGACACCGTTGGGTCACCTGATGGAGTTTTAGGACACCATTAGGTCACCTGATGGAATTTTAAGACACCATTGGGTCACCTGATGGAGTTTTAGGACACCATTGGGTCACCTGATGGAGTTTTAGGACACCATTGGGCCACCTGATGGAGTTTTAGGAACCGTTGGGTCACCTGATGGAGTTTTAGGACACCATTGGAAAATTCTTAGTAACATGTATGCTCCTCTTCTAGGTACAAGCTGCTGAAATGGTGGGCGCAGTCATTTCTTCCTGGAGTGCCACTGATAGTCGCTGGGTTTCGAGACCATGATGGGATAGTGGTGTCTATTGAGACCTTCCAAACCTCGAAAATATCACAACTGATCAAGGTTTGCTTTATATAACCACGTATTAAAGGGATACTCCACTTTTTTTGGAAATAGGCTCAATTTACAACTCCCCCAGAGTTACTGCCGTTACTGAATCCATTCAGCCGATCTCCGGTTCTGGCAGTACCATTTTTAGCATACCTTAGCATACATCATTGAAGTGCACAAGACCATTAGTATTTCTTGGAAAAAAAATGACCAAAGAGTTTCGATATTTTTCCCATTTAAAAGTTGACTCTTCTATAGTTACATCGTGTACTAAGACCGACGGAAAATGTAAAGTTACGATAATCAAGGCTCATACGGCTAGGAACTATATTCTCATTCCTGCATAATAATCAAGAAACTTCACAGCCGTACCATGAGTGCAGCAGGGGTAATGTTATGACGCAGCGTCTGAAAATAGTGCCCAGCTTGTTATTAGCCTATTTTCAGGCGCTGCGTCATATCATTATGCAGACTGATCTCATGAAATGGCATGTGTATGACACGCCAATTTGTATTTCCATTTTTGGTGTGCTATCAACACGCATAATCGCTTTTCAGCGTGTTTATGAACGCCGCTGACTTAACGTTACATTACTGTATATATAAATATATAACTTACCCGTCACTGGGGTTAATAACATTTATGAGTCTTTCCCTACCATCCTAGGAAAAAAACTATCACTCCCCAGATGTAGATCTACATTTTTCTTTGTTTCACTCGGGCATTTAACGGCGTAGACATACACGTATACACGCGGATAGCTCAAAATGCGTATAGAAAACACACCATTTGACTTGAAAGTGGCGTGTATGTTTACGCAAAAGTCATGATGCCATGTTGCATTACTCCTGCTGCACTCATGGTACGCCAGTAACGTTTCTTGATTATTACGCAGGAATGAGAGTATAGACCCCTTCAATGTTTGTACACATTGGAATCCTCTGTTGGGTGCGCGCGCAGCATGGGGTCAGAAAAATGGCGCGGCTAATAGACCGGCATGATATTGTGTCAAGTTATGCACTGTCTTTGAGGTCTTCACGGGTCCAAAAACTCATGCCCGACCCGAAAGAGACCCGTAATGTGCTACACCGAACCGACCCGGACCCGTCGTTCATTTCAAAAGTTGGACCCGGACCCGTGCAGACCCGAGAAATGACATAAACGCACTGCCCGGACCCGACCTGGACCCGTCTATTATTTGAAAACTGGACCCGAACCCGGCAGGAAGACACATACCCGACTGGACCCCGATTGTCACATATTATTTCACACGAGTTGCGTAAAATAAAACTTTTTGTCTTACCTAATTTTAGTAGCCGTCGTCTCGTTACTGACTGACTGATGCACAATTCACCGACAAGAAAGTTCTATCCATGTTATTTCTCTCGTTATTCCAAGCTTAATCCACTCATTATTTCAGCTTTAAAAGTCCACTTGATGTCACGGTGATGGATGACAAATGCAACCTTGCACATGTACATTCTGACTCGAGTTAACTCGCATAATAACTTTAACTGTTTGCCCTTTTGAATAACGATTGTTTGTTGCTTGTTCAGCTTGATCATATCTGTGCTCTCTGCTCTTCATTGAGTCTGAATCTGACCACCAAAACTTTAAGATTAGACAAGACGGTTCATTTATATAACATTGGAGAATATGTAAAGCACGGTTTGGCGGAAGCTCTGCTTTGGTTGCCATAGAAACATGACACGCGCTTGAGATTGCAGAGTGGGGGTTCAATCTTCAACTGGCTGGCAGGAGCTGCCACTGGCAGGTCACGTGACCTGCCAGTGGCTGGCTGGCAGCTGCCAGTGGTTGTCTGTCTATCTGCCTTTGGCAAGTTTCAGAAACCATTGATTTTTGACAGTTTTTGTGTTTTGTGTTCCTCCCTTTATAGCTCATTTATTATTTATCTGTTGAAATTATTGTTATTAGTACTAGGATCCCAATTTAATAGTCAAATGGCCGTGATCAGACTGGCAGTACAGACGCTGCTGGACTCATCCAGTCAGCCGCGGGTGATCAGCGAATATAACGCATTGCCTGACACTCTCGCTGAAAGGAAATAAAAAAATGTCTTATTATGAATATAATGTCATGCCTTTATTCTTGTGTATGATTGGTGTTTTGGGTACTGTTGTCCCGATTAAAGCAGTCAAATGGCCGTGATCCGACTGGCAGCTTGCAGACGCTTGCTGGACGCTCATCCAGCCAACCGCGGGTGATCAGCGAATATAACGCGTCGCTGGATGAGCGTCCAGCAAGCGTCTGCAAGCTGCCAGTCGGATCACGGCCATTTGACTGGTTTAATCGGGACAACAGTACCCAAAACACCGCTCATACACAAGAATAAAGGCATGACATTATATTCATAATAAGACATTTTTTTATTTCCTTTCAGCGAGAGTGTCAGGCAACGCGTTATATTCGCTGATCACCCGCGGCTGACTGGATGAGTCCAGCAGCGTCTGTACTGCCAGTCTAAGTAGGGGTTCAATCTTCAACTGGCTGGCAGGAGCTGGCGGCTGCAAGTGGCTGACTGGCAGCTGCCAGTGCTGAGTGGCTGAGTGCCTGACACTCTCGCTGAAAGGAAATAAAAGCTGCCAGTTGATGACTGTGGCAGCTTTTATTTCCTTGCTGAGTGGCAGCTGCCAGTGGCTGAGTGCTAAAAACTGGCAGCTTTTATTTCCTTGCTGACTGCCAGTGGCAGCTGCCAGTTGCTGACTGTGGCAGCTGCCAGTGGCTGAGTGGCAGCTGCCAGTTGATGACTGTGGCAGCTGCCAGTGGCTGACTGTGGCAGCTGCCAGTGGCTGAGTGGCAGCTGCCAGTTGTGACTGTGGCAGCTGCCAGTGGCTGAGTGGCAGCTGCCAGTTGTTGACTGTGGCAGCTGCCAGTGGCTGAGTGGCAGCTGCCAGTTGCTGACTGTGGCAGCTGCCAGTGGCTGAGTGGCAGCTGCCAGTTGATGACTGTGGCAGCTGCCAGTGGCTGACTGTGGCAGCTGCCAGTGGCTGAGTGGCAGCTGCCAGTTGTGACTGTGGCAGCTGCCAGTGGCTGAGTGGCAGCTGCCAGTTGTTGACTGTGGCAGCTGCCAGTGGCTGAGTGGCAGCTGCCAGTTGTTGACTGTGGCAGCTGCCAGTGGCTGAGTGGCAGCTGCCAGTTGATGACTGTGGCAGCTGCCAGTGGCTGAGTGGCAGCTGCCAGTGGCTGACTGTGGCAGCTGCCAGTGGCTGACTGTGGCAGCTGCCAGTGGCTGAGTGGCAGCTGCCAGTTGTGACTGTGGCAGCTGCCAGTGGCTGAGTGGCAGCTGCCAGTTGTTGACTGTGGCAGCTGCCAGTGGCTGAGTGGCAGCTGCCAGTTGTTGACTGTGGCAGCTGCCAGTGGCTGAGTGGCAGCTGCCAGTGGCTGAGTGGCAGCTGCCAGTGGCTGAGTGGCAGCTGCCAGTGGCTGAGTGGCAGCTGCCAGTGGCTGACTGTGGCAGCTGCCAGTGGCTGAGTGGCAGCTGCCAGTTGATGACTGTGGCAGCTGCCAGTTGATGACTGTGGCAGCTGCCAGTGGCTGAGTGGCAGCTGCCAGTGGCTGACTGTGGCAGCTGCCAGTGGCTGAGTGGCAGCTGCCAGTGGCTGACTGTGGCAGCTGCCAGTGGCTGAGTGGCAGCTGCCAGTGGCTGAGTGGCAGCTGCCAGTTGTTGACTGTGGCAGCTGCCAGTTGTTGACTGTGGCAGCTGCCAGTGGCTGAGTGGCAGCTGCCAGTTGCTGACTGTGGCAGCTGCCAGTGGCTGAGTGGCAGCTGCCAGTGGTTGACTGTGGCAGCTGCCAGTGCTGAGTGGCTGAGTGCCTGACACTCTCGCTGAAAGGAAATAAAAGCTGCCAGTTGATGACTGTGGCAGCTGCCAGTGGCTGCCAGTTGATGACTGTGGCAGCTGCCAGTGGCTGAGTGGCAGCTGCCAGTGGTTGACTGTGGCAGCTGCCAGTGGCTGAGTGGCAGCTGCCAGTTGATGACTGTGGCAGCTGCCAGTGGCTGAGTGGCAGCTGCCAGTGGCTGCCAGTGGCTGACTGTGGCAGCTGCCAGTGGCTGAGTGGCAGCTGCCAGTTGTGACTGTGGCTGACTTTGGCAGCTGCCAGTGGCTGAGTGGCAGCTGCCAGTGGCTGAGTGGCAGCTGCCAGTTGTTGACTGTGGCAGCTGCCAGTGGCTGAGTGGCAGCTGCCAGTTGCTGACTGTGGCAGCTGCCAGTGGCTGAGTGGCAGCTGCCAGTTGATGACTGTGGCAGCTGCCAGTGGCTGAGTGGCAGCTGCCAGTGGCTGCCAGTGGCTGACTGTGGCAGCTGCCAGTGGCTGAGTGGCAGCTGCCAGTGGTTGACTGTAGCAGCTGCCAGTGCTGAGTGGCTGAGTGCCTGACACTCTCGCTGAAAGGAAATAAAAGCTGCCAGTTGATGACTGTGGCAGCTGCCAGTGGCTGCCAGTTGATGACTGTGGCAGCTGCCAGTGGCTGAGTGGCAGCTGCCAGTGGTTGACTGTGGCAGCTGCCAGTGCTGAGTGGCTGAGTGCCTGACACTCTCGCTGAAAGGAAATAAAAGCTGCCAGTTGCTGACTGTGGCAGCTTTTATTTCCTTGCTGAGTGGCAGCTGCCAGTGGCTGAGTGCTAAAAACTGGCAGCTTTTATTTCCTTGCTGACTGCCAGTGGCAGCTGCCAGTTGCTGACTGTGGCAGCTGCCAGTGGCTGAGTGGCAGCTGCCAGTTGCTGACTGTGGCAGCTGCCAGTGGCTGAGTGGCAGCTGCCAGTTGTTGAGTGGCAGCTGCCAGTTGCTGACTGTGGCAGCTGCCAGTGGCTGAGTGGCAAGCTGCCAGTGGCTGAGTGGCAGCTGCCAGTTGTTGACTGTGGCAGCTGCCAGTGGCTGAGTGGCAGCTGCCAGTGGCTGCCAGTGGCTGACTGTGGCAGCTGCCAGTGGCTGAGTGGCAGCTGCCAGTTGTTGACTGTGGCAGCTGCCAGTTGTTGACTGTGGCAGCTGCCAGTGGCTGAGTGGCAGCTGCCAGTTGCTGACTGTGGCAGCTGCCAGTGGCTGAGTGGCAGCTGCCAGTGGTTGACTGTGGCAGCTGCCAGTGCTGAGTGGCTGAGTGCCTGACACTCTCGCTGAAAGGAAATAAAAGCTGCCAGTTGATGACTGTGGCAGCTGCCAGTGGCTGCCAGTTGATGACTGTGGCAGCTGCCAGTGGCTGAGTGGCAGCTGCCAGTGGTTGACTGTGGCAGCTGCCAGTGCTGAGTGGCTGAGTGCCTGACACTCTCGCTGAAAGGAAATAAAAGCTGCCAGTTGCTGACTGTGGCAGCTTTTATTTCCTTGCTGAGTGGCAGCTGCCAGTGGCTGAGTGCTAAAAACTGGCAGCTTTTATTTCCTTGCTGACTGCCAGTGGCAGCTGCCAGTTGCTGACTGTGGCAGCTGCCAGTGGCTGAGTGGCAGCTGCCAGTTGCTGACTGTGGCAGCTGCCAGTGGATGAGTGGCAGCTGCCAGTGGATGAGTGGCAGCTGCCAGTTGCTGAGTTTAATCGGGACAACAGTACCCAAAACACCATTGGCAGCTGCCAGTCAGTCAACACACTCAGCCACTGGCAACTGCCAGTCAGCAACTGCCATGCAACTGGCAGCTGCCAGTCAGCCACTGACAGGTCACGTGACCTGCCAGTGGAAGCTCCTGCCAGCCAGTTGAAGACTGAAACCCTACTCAGATTGCACTCCGATCGCACGGGTATTACCCTACAAATCGCTAGATGCGTATAATTACGTAGTTTGTGGGCATGTTCAGACGGTTTTATATAGCGATATAAGCGATGACTTTTGTGTGTTAAAAGCGGAGGTTTTACCAAGCCAGCGCCAGGGAAAAAAGACCTCTATATACAGCTGGTCGTGATCAACAAGCGGGAAGGCTAACGTTACATCCATACTGCAAATTGCACCTGCATGGCAGGGTAACGTTAATTATTTATCATATTGGAGACGGATGCACTGTAGACTGATTGACTTGATGGTTATATTTCCCTAGAAAACTGTCACGACTAGGCTACTAATCACTTACCCAGCATCCGTCACCTTTCCTCCAGGGTCATTATTGTTAAACTAAACTTGTGTCTGTCATTTCACCAATTATCGCTGAGATGTGTGGAAATCGCGTCAGTGCGTGATGTAAAAAAAAAAAAAAAAAAAACTTAAAAAAACTCATTAAGACACAACACACGGTTAGAACAAGCATGCACAGTGTACATAGCCGATGTAAAAATACATAAAACAAAATTCATAGTTAGGCATATTAGTATTTATCGTTAGTATTTATCGCAAGTTAGTATTTATCGACGCAACAAGTAGGCATGTTGACGAGAAATTCTCCATTAGCTGGTTAAAACTATGGTTACAGCACGATGGAATGAACTTTTCTGACCCCGACATGCGCACTGGATTTTTTTCTGTGACGTCAACCGTGAAGGGGTCTATAGTTCCTAGCCATATCAGCCTAGAAAATCGCAACTTTACATTTTCCGTCTGTCTTAGTGCACGATGTTACTACTGAAGACTCAAGTTTTAAATGGGAAAAATATCGAAACACTTTGGTAATTTTTTTTTTTTTTTTTTTTTTTTTGAGAACTATAGACTAAGCTATGCTAAAAGTGGTACCGCCAGAACCGGAGATCGGCTGAATGGATTCAATAACGGTACAACTCAACAGTTTAACTCTGGAGGAGTTGTAAAATGAGCCTATTTCCAAAAAAAAAAAGAGGTGTATCCCATTAAAGGACAACTCCGGCGCAAAATGAACCTTTGGTCTAATTACACATTGCTACCTAGTCAACCGTTATCAGAGATTTGTTTTCATGATTGCCGAATGTAAATAGTTTTATCTCTAAAAACAGTTTAGCCTATAACGGTAGTATAATGCTAGTATATAGGGCATAGAGTAATGACAAATAAAAATCGCTTGTTATTACCACTTACAAGGCTCAAAATAGCCCCACACTAACACGACAGCATAATAAGGGTCCCTACATTCAAACCGAAGGATTGAGAACTTTGTCAGTGTCCAAACAGTTCAATAAGAAGATATTTTATACACACAGTCAACTTCGCCAATACAGGAAGAAGCCATCTTTGAAAAATTGTCTCTACCAGTCGATCTACGAACGCCGATCCAAGTGCGCTGAACTGTGCAGAATCTCATATGGTCCGTTGTTTCCGGAAGAAACACAAACACGAACCGTTTTCTTCTCTTCAATATGTACATGTTGCTTACTGTTCGCGCTCACCTTATCACCTTATTCACATCTCACCAGCGCACATGGATCAGCGTTCGTAGATCGACTGGTAGAGACTTATTTTTTAAAGATGGCTTCTTCCTGTATTCGCGAAGTTGACTGTGTGTATACAATATCTTCTTATTGAACTGTTTGGACACTGACAAAGTTCTGAATGCATCGGTTTGAATGTAGGGACCCTTATTATGCTGTCGTGTTAGTGTGGGGCTATTTTGAGCCTTTTTAGTGGTAATAAAAAGCGATTTTTATTTGCCCTATTTACTAGCGTTATACTAGCGTTATAGGCTAAACTGTTTTTAGAGATAAAACTATTTACATTCCGCAATCATGAAAACAAATCTCAGATAGCGGTTGACTAGGTAACAATGATTAGACCAAAGGTTCATTTTGCACCGGAGTTGTCCTTTAAAAGCTTCCGTCCTGCTTGGATTAGCCAACATTAGCCAACATATTATAATACGGGCAGCCACATATCTTTTTTGATCATGTTTAATAGAATTGAAATGTATAATTGCAGAAATTTCGGTTCCTAATAAGGTCGATTATAGAACGATAAAGCGAGACGCTTTCATTTCTGTTGATTCTGTAGCACGAGCAAAACTGCTGGAGGCCAACCGTCTGCATGAATTTCTGCAACGATTTCCTGTCCTTCGTCAAGTCCGTGGTCAAAGAGGACGACCCAAGGTAATCCTGAAAATCAAGCCCCATCCCTACAGTTATTTCTTCTGTTGTTTCACACAGAAACATGTCAGATTGCACCGGTAAGATGGGTTTGACTGTGACGTGTTGTGTTTTTCAGACTGGTGTACCTGTTCGAATGGGATCCACACAGAGACGTGACCTACACCGTCCACAGAGACTCTCCGTTCACGTTCTTGCCAGAGTGGTACGTGAAGGATCCCGCATCTCACCACTGACCTTTTTACCCGTCATAAACGCACTGTTTCGGCGCTGTGCACAGCTTGCTATTGCTTGTGTTTTCTGGATTAAGTTTGAAACCTGGAAAAGGACGGTTTTAACCAACACGGATTTGATGTCCATGCGCACTGTTCATGTTATTTTTTATATTGGGATTTTATTTTAGCCTTTGTTTGTTATGATGACTTCAAAATGTCCTTTAAATATGTACATTTTCTCTGTTAAATGTCCATCACAATCTTTTTATATAATTTTAATAGTTATATGACACTTTGGTCCTTATTTAGGAAACACAAGCGCGTGAATTTCTTGTAAAACGGTTCCTACGTAAATTCATTATATTTTGTGACATTTTAAGAATGATTTATCAAACAATGAATGAATTTGTTGAGATTTTGCACTTGACGTGCTGAAGAAAATTAGATAATGGCTGTAAATTAAGAATTTGTTCTAAAGACATAATTTGTAACTATGGTTTATTAATTCATTCCCTCATTTTAGTTAAACAAACAACTTATAAATTCTTAATCTGTGGCCATGATATCATGTCATGTGCGGGTCTCTGTGCTTTTGTGTTAAGATTTGCTATATTATCTCTGAGAAATCACTACGGAGAGGTCTTGTCCAAAGCTTTTATTAGCATTCACTTAAAGTTTGCAATTCATTTAAATATGCCACAATTACAGTTAAATTATACAAATGAAAGTACAAAATATGTGCTATAAATTTTGAAATAAAGAAACGTAAGTGCAAAGTCGTATCATTACGTAAACTCTATTGGTTTTTAATATCGTATTGTATGAGGAACCAGTTTCATTGACACAGCAGGTAAGACTTGTGTAAACAGGAAGATGTTCTCTCTAAAATGCATATTTAAGGCAAGTATGGTGTGAATATATTCACACTGACCTCAAACTCAGGTTTACGCTGAGCCGTGTATTTTTTAAATGCCTTTCATGATGGATAAATTGTGATAAATATCTCGATTCTGGATAAATTTAGAATCACGACTTTCTTATTTTTAACAGAAAAAAAAAAGTCATTTACTAGACACAATTTTAATCGGTTTGAGTGAATAATTCAATGACTCACTCATAGATGAATGATTATAACAGTCATTTGTCTCCATCTACTGGTGTAACGATGTAATGATTCAGTTTTTAAGTGCAAAGTCACTTTCAAAAATCACTATCGTAGACATCAGGGTTTATATGCGAACTATAAACTTTAAACGCTGCGATCGTACTTGTCAAAGGTTTAATGAATAATAGAATAATGCAATGTGACCAGCTAATGATTAATTAACATTCATTAATGATTCTCCAGAACAGTTTTACATCACATGGAGCCCAAATTGTTCATTATACAAAAATAAACAAAAACAGGTTTTGTGCATGTTTCAGAATCAGTAACATAGATTTGGCGAATCAGAGGACACGTAAAATCTCCGATCGGCTTCAGATTTTATCCTTCCATTTCATTGGTTAAAACAAATTTGATATCGAAAACCATTACCTGGTTTGTCACATCACTGATACGGCTCTACTGCATTTATTAAAGCACTTTAAATTTAGACCATAAAACCAGTTACTTTTTTTAATTGAGATGTATACATCACATGATTTATGAAAAGCTGAATAAATAAGCTTTCCATGTGTCTGGTTTGTTAAGATAGGACAACATTTGGCCAAGATACGAATATTCAAAAAAAAAAAAAAAAGGAAACATTGAGAAAATTGCCTTTAAATTGACCATTTATGTCTGCGATTGTGCTGCGTTCACTCACAAAAATTAATGTTTTATATATTTACGGTAGGAAATATCTTCATGGAACATGATCTTTACCTAATATCTTAACGATTTTAGGCATAAAAATCGATCATTTTGACCCATATTATGTATCGTTGGCTTTTGCCACAAATATTCCCGTGCGAGTTGTGACTGGTTTTGTGGTCCAGGGTCACGATTGTGCCAAAGATATTAACAACACATGTCTATTCACATGGCAAATGTCTCGAATTCAGACATTCGTTACCCACAAATTTCACTCAAATAGAAAACTCTGTCATCATTTACTCACCCTGATGTACAAACTCCTATTCTATTGTGAAACAGGATTTTCTAACGAATGATCACGCTGCTCATACTGAATCTAATCCCTAAAATTAACTCATAAAACAGGTTTGTATATTGCTGTCCGCCATAGCTCTCACATTTTATTCATGCCTACATATTTAAACTGGCCTGATGTCAATCCATAATGTGAACTGCAGTGGAGGAGAAGAGTATTAGTGTATATTTCAGGCTCTTCCATACATCTGGGACATTTATTTTCTTTGCAGAGATCATCAGCTTTCTATAAAAGCTTCTGAGAAACGTCTTTCATGTTACGCAAAACAGAAAAATCATATGGGTTTGGAGCAATTTTTATTTTATATTATAGTTTCAGTCATTTTGTTTATGTGCTTTTGTCTTGCTTTATTTCTAAGTTTTAATTTAATTTTAGCACTTAATGTTTGCCTTTTTAAAGTTTTTAATCTGATTTTTAAAATTTAATTCCAGCCTTATTTCAATCAACAAAACAACGTTATTTTCACAGACTGTGATGATGCATTAGCTATCAACATCCAGTAAAGATTTTTCATATTTTCAATTTGTTAAAGTCCCCCGTAGTCAATAATTGTATCTCTTAAAACTCATCTTTGATCACCAAAATTACATATTTAAATCTTTAAACACACTCGCCTCATTTAGTATACGCGGTTCTATGAATATGCAAATTAGCTTAATTAGTTTAAAGAGGTGATGAACTGAGAAATCGAATTTTCCTTGAGCTTTTGACATCTAAGAGGTCATCACAATCATATTATAAGAATATCCTGTAAGTTTCAGAAGTGAAAACGTCCTTGTTAGTCCAATAAAAGCTTTTATTGACACCAGGCTCAGCAAACGACTCGTTTTTCAAAGTGGGGAACTATGACGTCAAAGAGGATAAAACACCACACCCGCAGAAGATGATCAACGTGGCCGGTTTAGCCCCGCCCACCGATTCGCGCATTACACGCAAATCTAAATAACATAGATGCCTAGAATGAGTGTGAAACTCATTATAATATGCAAAACTGTTCTCCACTCACAGCAGTGGGCGTTTACTTCAAAGTCTTCAGTGCGACACGCCCATAAAATCCAAGCGTTTTTGAGCTAGGCTCAAAACTAGGGTACAAAACAACCTATTCCTTATTCATTTTGATGTTTTTGAATCTAAAAACCAAGCGAACGTCATAAGTTGACCTCAGACAACAATATAATACAATTTAAAAAGCCAGTTCCTGACCCCTTTAAGGTATTAGTTATAATACATTGGCTGTTAATGACAAAAACTAAATTAACTCCACTGTGCGGGTGTTCAAAACACAACGGCAAATTCGACATCTTACATCTCAACATCTATAACAGGCAAATGTGAATAAAAATGTATATTTGCCGCCGCCATCCACTATAACGATCCACTTCTGAGAGTCCCGGAGATGTGCAAAGGGTCCTTGGTTTTAGCACTGATTTGAAATGACATCAGAGTGAGTAAATGACTAAAAGGAAATAATTTTGCTCTTGACCATCACCTTTAAATTCAGAAACACTCCGGATTTGCTTTGGGTTAAGACGTTTTAAAAGAATCAGTAAACCTCTCATCTTCTCTAAGATTCTGATCAAATAAACTTGATCATGTAAACTTGTTTTTTTTAAGCAACATGTTAAAAACCAAAGCCTCTTTTCTTGCTTTAAACTGACCTGTGTTAAGGCGGGACTGAAGCATGCTAGTGGAGCAGTGGCTGATGGGATATGTGGAGGTCCTCCTGAGGGTGTGTGTGTGTGTGTTAGAGAGGTAGTCATGACTGAAGGCTCCGGTGTCTCAGTGCTTGAGTTTCCTCTGAAGGCCCATGAGTTTGAAGGTGGCAGCGGTGATCTTCTCGTACACCACGAACATGAGGGCCGCCGTCAGCACCGTCTGCAGAAGCTTCGCCTCCAGGCCTTTATACAAGCCCAGCGGCCCGTGCCTCCTGTACAGAGGACGGAGAACACGGCTCACACTCCAGGCATCATGATGCTGAACATTATGCTTTGATCACAGGAATAAATTAGATTTTGAAATATATAACAATTATTTTTAAATTGTCATAATATTTCACAATATTACTGGGTTTTTTTTGTGTGTATTTTTAATTCCAATAAATGCAGAAAAGACTTCTTTAAAAATCGCACCCATCCACAACTTCTGACTGGTACACCACACAAACATATTCAATAGAGCAAGACCGATATTATCGGCCGATATTAGGCATTTTCCAAACTATCGGTATCGGCAGTTATAATGGCCGATAAATGAATATTTCAAAACTAAATATAAAAACGGACGAAACACGCTTCAACCATGTCATTAGTGTTGGAGTTGTATAGTTTGTCCACCAGAGGGCACTCTACACCATCCCTGTTGGCAACACTCGTTGAGTTGGTCACGAGACATACGTTGCTTGAATAACAATTAAAAGACCATCCACATCAGTTCTCTAAACTCAAATAAGCTTGACAAAATTTGTGACAATCAGGTCCAGTTTTTCCTCTTGTTAAATAAGTTGTATAATTTTAGGGAAATCTGTTAATGTTTTGTTGCGTTTCTGAAAAAAAAAAATAAATAAAAATATCGGCCGATATATCGGAATATCGGATTTTAAAACCAAAAAATATTTGTATCGGTATCGGCCTTCAAAATCCTTTATCGGTCTGGCTCTAATATTCAATATGTACATTGGAAAAAAAAGTTTATAACAGTAATATTTTTTTAATTGTAATGTTTTCGTTTAAATTGTGTTCTTTTAACCCTTGTGCTGCATTAGATTTTTAACACCGTTGAGTGCATTAAGGACCAAAAATGGCCACATATTAAACATTGCCTAAAATATTATATATTATCATTATTTTCCACTTTTACCAAGTTAAATCTTTTAACCAGCATCAGTCCTCATCATAACTACCAAAAATGTATTCAATTTCAGGATTTTAACCCTTTAATTACCAGTTTTGTTTGCGAAACCATCGATTTGTATAAGAGGAAAAAACACAAAAATTCAATTATTTTCAATAAACTAAATGCAAAGTGAAAACTTTAGATTTGGATTATCACAGTCCCACTTTGCAAAAAATCCCACTTAGCGCGTTAGAGACCAAAAATGGCCACCTATTAAACATTGCCTATTGCCTAAAATAAGGTGCATTTCCACCCATAGGGAATAAATATGTAGTGACGTCATCTGGTGGAATACACTATATGATGCAAATATAATGCTTTTGCTTCAAAATGAAAGGATGTTTGTGCAAAAATCATGTTTCATGTATTACTGACAGCCTCAGATTTAAACAACGTTTTAATGGGTTTCAATGGGCCATTTTTGGTCTTTATGGTGCTGAGTGTTACTATTTGATCTACACAGTGTGTGTTATACATATTTTGCAAAATGGGATCACATTTTTTACATGTATCCAAAAAGTCACAATTTTGCCAAATTTCATACCATTTGCATGAAAACAGCCAAAATGGTCAAAGAAATTAAACTGCAAAAGACCAAAAATGTCCCTACTGCAGCATAAGGGTTAATACGTCTATAGGTTTTCATTCATTTTAATTTCAGTTTTACGTAAATTATTACTGCATTAAACTGCAGTTGACTTACCTGATCCGGTCCATGAGCAAAGACACCACGTTCCTCAGGCTGCCCACTAGACCACCTTTACCATCTGATTTATACTGGCCAAACTGCGGAGCAACGGGAATATTTCACACGATGACTGCTTTAAAATGAGTAACACTGTGTCTACCTGCATCAAGTGCACCTTTTACGCCATTTCAATAGTTCCTAAAGTTGTTTTGGAGTCTCCTACATCATTCAAAGCATGATGATGATGTATATCATTTAAAAGTCAGTCACTATATTCTTTATTCTACATTATGTTTTTGCTGGCTATCAAGTGCTTATATTCACCTAAATCAATCCATCAATCAATCAATCAATCAATCAATCAATCAATCAATCTATCTATCTATATATATATATATGTTTTATTTTTTTTTGTAGTGTGTTGATTGTGGTATTGTTTATGTTTTATTATTTCATTGTATTGTATTTGATTTGTCCCCTGTTCTGTGTTGTATTGTATATTAGGACCCCCTCGAAAACAAGATGGTTCATCTCAAGTGGTTTATCCTGTTTAATAAACGTATATATATATATATATATATATATATATATATATATATACACTACCGGTCAAACGTTTTAGATCAGTAAGATTTTTTATGTTTTTAAATAAAGTCTCTTCTGCTCACCAAGGCTGCTTTATTTAATGAAAAAAAAAATTTGACAAACAGTAATATTGTGAAATATGACGACAATTTAAAATGACTGTTTTCTATTTTAATATATTTTTGTAAGCTGAATTTTCAACATCATTACAGTAGGCTTGCCGTGATAGACGGTGTTGACGGTGTTACTGGTTTTAAGCCCCATCACCGGTGACATCACTTTCCCACCGTGACACCGCGATGTCTTGACTTTTTTTTCTAAAGTATTCGTTTTTGCTAAAATATTTATTTGAATTAATTAAAAATAATAATTTTCAATTATTTAGTTCAGAAGAGAGCATTATAATTAACAATGAACTGCGCAACGCGTGCCGTCACGTCACAGATCAGCAAGCATCAGGATTCCATTTTAGCACGTGTGGAGACGAGAACGAGTCAAATTACAGAAAAGCAAGATAATGGCGGAAGATTTGGTGTCAAAACGCAATGCAAAAGCGCCTGTTTGGCAATATTTTGGCCAATATATATTAATGTTAATAAATGCCAATTTATAGTGTTTTACTTTTTTTAGAGTGCTGTCATTTATGTAGGCTAAGGTCCTTTTTAAAGTTTTTATTTTATATTCGTCTCTTTTTATTTGGTTTTATCTTATTTAAACTTTGTTTAATTTATTTAGGCCTATTTTGTTTTCTTATTCGTTAATAAACGTTTTATTTGTTTGGGCCCACAGTTTGCCGATTTTCACTTTTTCAGCCTATGCATGGGGTTATTTTTATTCGTTCGTTATGCTAATAAAAGTTCTGTCTATATTTTATTCGTTTATTATTCTAATAAAAGTGCTGTCTATAAATAAAAGTTTATTGTCAGCGAGTTGTTGTTGTTTTTTTGTCCATTCCAGCAATTGACGCTGAATTGCAATTGACGCTTATTTCGAAAGTGAAAGTAGGCCTATGTCATTTATGTAGGCTAAGGTCCGTTTTGAAGTTTTTATTTTATATTCGTCTCTTTTTAATTGGTTTTATCTTATTTAAACTTTGTGTAATTTATTTAGGCCTATTTTATTTTCTTATTCGTTAATAAACGTTTTATGGTTCTTATTTGTTTGGGCCCACAGTTTGCCGATTTTCACTTTTTTCAGCCTATGCATGGGGTTATTTTTATTCGTTCGTTATGCTAATAAAAGTTCTGTCTATAAATAAAAGTTTTATTATCAGCGAGTTTTTTTTTTTTGTCCATTCAAGCAATTGACGCTTATTTCGAAAGTGAAAGTATAACGCGCACGCATTTAAAAGCTATTTAACCCCCCCGCCCTGCCCTCCACGGTGACACCGGGATTACCGGTGTTGTCACACGTCGATTAACCGGTGGGAAATTTTCCTCACCGCGGCAACCCTACATTACAGTTGCTGATTACACATCAGATTTCAGTGTCACATTATCCTTCAGAAATCATTCTAATATGCTGATTTTATACTCAAAAAACATAAATTATTATTTTCAATGTTGAAAACACTCGTGTATTATTTTTTCCCCCCAAAAGAAAGTTCAAAAGAACAGCATTTATTTAAAATATAATCTTTTCTAACATTATAAATGTCTTTACTGTAACTTTTGATCAATTTAACTCATCCTTGATGAATAAAAGTATTTTATCATTTCTTTCCCCCAAAAATAAAAAAATAAATTCTTACTGACCCCAAACTTTTGAATGGTAGTGATTAATGTTACAAAAGCTTTTCCATTTCAGATCAATTCTGTTCTTTTGAACTTTCTATTCATCAAAGAATCCTGAAATAAACATGTAAAAAACTGTTTTCAACATGGATAATAATCATAAATGTTTCTTGATCATCATATTATAATAATTTCTGTAGGATCATGTGACACTGAAGACTGGAGTAATGATGCTTTGATCACAGGAATAAATTACACTTCACTATATATTCCGCTTTTTAAAATTGTAATAATATTTCACAATATTACAGTTTTTTTGCTTTTTTTTAATCAAATAATTGCAGCCTTGGTGAGCAGAAGAGACTTCTTTTAAAAAACATAAAAAATCTTACCGATCTAAAACTTTTGACCGGTACTGGTATATAGACTGGTATTATGCAAATCTGTTACAAACCTACATCGGCAGAATTGCTTCTTTCTTTTGGGAGAACTTATGTGCACTTTCCATTCACAAACAGCTACATTACACACGGCATGAAAGATAATATCCGAAAAAAGCATAACAGGAGCACTTCAATGCAGTCACATTGATGATATTACCCTCAGAATGGCCTGAACCGTTTGCAGGGGATACGTTGCAGATGTTGCGACAGCTTTGGCGACGGCACCGATGAGAAAGATCTCAAGGGATGAAATCTGCACAGAAACATCAAACATTGGAGTTATTTCACTAACTGATAAATGAATGACGGCGTTCTCTTCTGTCCCTCACACCTTCCTGCCTCCACGTCCCGCTCTTCGTTTCATAGCCTCGTAGAACATGAACTGCACGGCGGGGTTGAACACCAGCACGAGAGACGGCAGCGTCCCGTTCCACAGCGCTCCCACTCCCTCGCTGGATATAATCTGGGAGAAGGCGTCTGTGAAAGGAGAAACACATAATGTTCAGATTTATTGCTGGAACTATTTTTCGTATTGCTTTACACCACTGCGTTTTTAAACTCTTGAATCTAATTGGTTGACACAAATCTCAAAATTGACAATTAATAGTTGTATTATTTTTTTGTTGTTCAACCCATTCTTGTAAACATTTCCTCTACTGCTTACTTTTTTCCTTAAATACTAAATACCAACCCCCCAAAAATAGACGTTTTATTTTATTTGTAACAAATTATTTATTTTTTTACAACATTTTAATGTTTCTGTATTACGTTTTAATGGCTACAATAAAATATGTTAGTAATCAAAAATCATATCTAATTAATTGAAATCATTAAACTTGCACCATTTAACAACTATTCATTTAGCAAATTTAGCAAAAAAAATATATATATATTTTAGGCCATTATTAAATCAGTTTTCACCACAACTTCCATTTCATTTTCTCCACATTATCTAATTCGTTAAAACTTTTTTATTACATTATTATAAGGCCCTTTGAAATGTCTGTTTTAATCTTTCTGGATGTAAAATATGTATTATTCTTTAAAATTGTAATCAAATAAAAATGTGACTATTGTTTGACAAAACAACAGAGATTTACTGTACGGTAAATAAAAATGTTCCATGTTTTAAAATGAAAACATGGGAGAAAATTGTGTGATATACCATAAATGAATTGTAATAATGTTACTGTATTATTATTATTAGTTTGAGAAGTACATTTTACTGTCCATTACTAATATATTTCTGTCACAATATTAAAGGAGTAGTTCCCTTTTAAAAAAAACTTTTGCTGATAATTTACGCACCCCCGTGTCATCCAAGATGTCCATGTCTTTCTTTCTTCAGTCGAAAAGAAATTAAGGTTTTTGATGAAAACATTCCAGGATTTTTCTCCATAATGGACTTCAATGGGAACCAAACGGTTCAAGGTCCAAAAGACAGTTTCAGTGCAAACTGCAAACTGTTCAAGGGGCTTTAAACGTCACCAGACGATGAATAAGGGTCTTATCAAGCGAAACGATCGTTCATTTAAAAAAATAACAAAGTTTAAGTTTTATAAGCTCAAATGGTCGCCTTGCTCTGTTCTGTGACGCTCGTTCGTGACTCTCCTGTTCGAACTCGTTCATCAAAATGAACAAATCTTTTTTCGTGTCATTTGGTTCATTCAACGAACGAAATGAACGAATTGACTCGGGAAAAGCTTCGTTCATTTAGATAAACAAGTTCGAACAGGAGAGTCACGAATGTGCGTCAACGATCAGAGCAAGGCGAGCATTCGAGCTTATAAAACGTAAACTTTGTTGTTGTTTGTTTTTTTTTTAAATGAGCGATCGTTTCGCTAGATAAGACCCTTATTCATCGCCTGATGTCGTTTAAAGCACTTTGAAGCGGCACTGAAACTGTCTTTTGGACCTTGAACCGTTTGGTTCCCATTGAGATCCATTATATGGAGAAAAATCCTGGAATGTTTTCATCAAAAACCTTAATTTCTTTTCGACTGAAGAAAGAAAGACATGGACATCTTGGATGACATGGGGGTGAGTAAATTATCAGCAAAAGTTTTTTTTAAAATGAACTACTCCTTTAAGTGAACTTTTATTTTGAAGGGTTTTCGTGAAAACGATTCACGTGATCATGGCCTTATATAATGAGACGGAAGAGTGCCACACATTGTGATTAATTGCACAGCCCTTCCTTTGATTTACTCATCTAAAATTGCCAAATTCTGACACATTTCACGTTATACTGTAAAATCCATTGTTAGGACTGGATCCAAAGCATGAATATCACATCAGATCAAGCTTTATATTTGTGAGGAAGATGCATGAAACTGCTTTACTAACAAATGTGCTTTACTGAACATCGGTTTGGAGTTTAAACGTCATCAGATAAATGAGTGTGTGAGCAGTTCTGACCAAATATGCCCTTATAGTGTGTCTGATGGAGCTCTTCGTTCCTGAACTTTGCCCCCTGCAGCTTCAGCCGTGTGTTCACCACCCACATGGGAGTCGTCAGGAGAACATTAACAGCGCCTGCATCATGGCAAACAACAGGGAGAAGAAGAGAGCGGACATTATCACTTCAATGACTGATTAGCTGTTAATTGCTAACCGGTAATATTAATATTTACAATGTCAAACTAACATTGAAAAGTACAGACAACTAGTGCTGCACGATTTGGAGGAGAAAAAAAACGAATTGCGATATGTCGGATTGAAATTACAAAAGTTTAAACAATTTAAAGTTTAAAGACGTATCAATATGGCAATATGCTAATTATTCTAATAATTAATGTTATATGAAATGTATGTACTAAATAAAATAAAAATTCAATTGTATATTTCAAAAAAGTAAAAAAAAAGTATTTAAGAAAAATAATGTAAAAATGTATTTTAGAATACAACCAGTGTTATTTATTATAGTTTTTTTTATAGCATTTATTGTTATATTTTTGCTTTTCACGTGAATTTTAGTTTTATTTTCAAATATTGCTAATTAGGTTAAATTTATTTTTATTTCGATTTTAGATTTCTATTTATTTCTAGATTATAAATGTAGTGCTTCAGCTTAAACCACCACGGCAACATTACTAATTTCCGTTTGAAGGTTTTCAACTAATATTTCTATTTTAAATAATTTAAGCTTCATTTCATTTCACAGAAATGTTTCAGTTAACAATAACAACGGTGATTACAACAGGGAAATTATAATACTAATATTTAGGTATTTATTAAATTTTCCAGCAAAACCTTCAAACCTTTATTTTGACAGATAACTGTAGGGAGCCTTTTATTCTGAAATACGCAGCTCATTTATTTATTTATTTAATTAAATCCCAGCCATATTGCGCGCAGCAGAACACCCCGGTTTTAGCAAAAGAAACATGGTGGTAAGAGTGAAACTGAGATGGGTTCAGCACAACATTACAGTACCTGATATGAAGCCCATGAGCAAATCTGTGGCAGGCTTGGGCCGGTCTGAGACCATCGCTCTCTTCAGGGTGTTGAATGTGTAGAAGTAGACAAAGTTAGAGCAGCACAGGCTAGAAATGACCGGAAACCAGCCTCGATACAGAGACAATCTGCAACACGATGAAATGACATCTTGAAAATAAGCACCCTGGCATAAACAAATCAAAGTCTGACCACAGGAACTGGACTTTTGTTTTGTTTTTTTCCAAACCTAATTCCATGGGACGTTCATGTGGTTTAACAATGCAGTGAGTGATTTCTGAGAAACACTGTCAATATTTGAAATCAACCTAATAAACACCCCAATGACACTCAAAACTGTCCTGTTACTAGAGCTCACATTACAACAACAGCACATCTTGGTTCTGCAAAACCAGTGTTACTCGCATATGGAGCAGAAACACCGGCGTCTGTTTTCAGACCTTCCCGCTTCGTTCACTCCAGTGCTGGAAAGCTTTTCTAATATTAATTCGGGTCCTAAAGCTCTTGCCTGATCTTAATCCTTTTCCCCCAGTGAAATTCCTCTGAGCTTTTCTCTTTTGTAATGTCTCTCAGTCATCTCTCTTTCTACAGTCTTTCTTCAAATCTCCCTCTTGCTCGTTCTTTCTCTTATCCTATCATGAGTGGATATGCCCCTACTGCTGATTGGCTCGTTCTCTCTCTTATCCTATCATGAGTGGATATGCCCCTACTGCTGATTGGCTCATTCTCTCTCTTATCCTATCATGAGTGGATATGCCCCTACTGCTGATTGGCTCATTCTTTCTCTTATCCTATCATGAGTGGTCATGCCCCTACTGCTGATTGGCTCGTTCTCTCTCTTATCCTATCATGAGTGGATATGCCCTTACTGCTGATTGGCTCATTCTTTCTCTTATCCTATCATGAGTGGATATGCCCCTACTGCTGATTGGCTCGTTCTTTCTCTTATCCTATCATGAGTGGATATGCCCCTACTGCTGATTGGCTCGTTCTCTCTCTTATCCTATCATGAGTGGATATGCCCCTACTGCTGATTGGCTCATTCTTTCTCTTATCCTATCATGAGTGGATATGCCCCTACTGCTGATTGGCTCATTCTTTCTCTTATCCTATCATGAGTGGATATGCCCCTACTGCTGATTGGCTCATTCTTTCTCTTATCCTATCATGAGTGGATATGCCCCTACTGCTGATTGGCTCATTCTTTCTCTTATCCTATCATGAGTGGATATGCCCCTACTGCTGATTGGCTCGTTCTCTCTCTTATCCTATCATGAGTGGATATGCCCCTACTGCTGATTGGCTCATTCTTTCTCTTATTCTATCATGAGTGGTCATGCCCCTACTGCTGATTGGCTCGTTCTCTCTCTTATCCTATCATGAGTGGATATGCCCCTACTGCTGATTGGCTCATTCTTTCTCTTATCCTATCATGAGTGGATATGCCCCTACTGCTGATTGGCTCGTTCTCTCTCTTATCCTATCATGAGTGGATATGCCCCTACTGCTGATTGGCTCATTCTTTCTCTTATCCTATCATGAGTGGATATGCCCCTACTGCTGATTGGCTCATTCTTTCTCTTATCCTATCATGAGTGGATATGCCCCTACTGCTGATTGGCTCGTTCTCTCTCTTATCCTATCATGAGTGGATATGCCCCTACTGCTGATTGGCTCATTCTTTCTCTTATCCTATCATGAGTGGATATGCCCCTACTGCTGATTGGCTCATTCTTTCTCTTATCCTATCATGAGTGGATATGCCCCTACTGCTGATTGGCTCATTCTTTCTCTTATCCTATCATGAGTGGATATGCCCCTACTGCTGATTGGCTCATTCTTTCTCTTATCCTATCATGAGTGGATATGCCCCTACTGCTGATTGGCTCGTTCTCTCTCTTATCCTATCATGAGTGGATATGCCCCTACTGCTGATTGGCTCATTCTTTCTCTTATTCTATCATGAGTGGTCATGCCCCCTACTGCTGATTGGCTCGTTCTCTCTCTTATCCTATCATGAGTGGATATGCCCCTACTGCTGATTGGCTCATTCTTTCTCTTATCCTATCATGAGTGGATATGCCCCTACTGCTGATTGGCTCGTTCTCTCTCTTATCCTATCATGAGTGGATATGCCCCTACTGCTGATTGGCTCATTCTTTCTCTTATCCTATCATGAGTGGATATGCCCCTACTGCTGATTGGCTCATTCTCTCTCTTATCCTATCATGAGTGGTCACGCTCCCTACTGCTGATTGGCTCATTCTCTAGCCGTTTCTCAATATGCGTTCTTGTCTGTACTTGTGTTCTTATGGACTTGTGAAACGTCATCAGTCGCTGCCCAAGTACTGTTCCAATTCGTCAATGGGAGAGGAGAAAATCCGCGAAATATCAAAATACTACTGTTATTGTGTCATGAAGTGTAATTTTAAGAGTGTTTCAGGCGAGAATGTGGTTGTTTAAATCTCAAATCTGTGGTTTATTTATAAAGATAGCACCTATTTCAAAAATGTATCTGACGTTTTCGGAGCTCTGACATGCAAGCCTTCACCGGCGCCCAGCGCTCATCAACACTGGAACAGCTTTTCCTCGGCTAGTGCTTCTGACGACAGATGTCTCGTCTAGTGGATAAACTTGACGTATAATTCGTCTTGTGTAATAGTCTATCTTTGGTCTCGTCTCATTTAACTAGTTTGCTCCATGGCAAAAAAAAAAATCGTTTTATTGTGTTATTATAAATAAATATTTTTATTTATTTATTTTTTTTTTTTTACATGATCTTCACTATATGAACAATAAAATAAAATTAACTCTGTCTTTGTTTGTTAAATGTCAATAAAAATCAATAACGTTTCATACTTTTAAAATGAAAACAACAAGATCATGTTCATTTTGTTATTAATATATGGAGTGAAGATAATCAATATACGCCTGAACCACATGGCCAAATATGTTTAAGATTTTTTTTTTTTAACGAAAAGAGGCAAAGTGGTGTTTTATAACAAATTTCGTTTTATTTTGGACGAAAAAAGGCAGACTTGTAGCATATTTTGTTTTATTGTTGCCTAAAATATATATAAATAGATAACTGGAGTAACCAGAGCTTGCTGAGTGACGCGATCAAGTACGCTCTGTTCCATTTGCAGAATAACCGGACTTGCGTCCTCTCGACCTCGGGAGTTCGTTCTCCTGAGTCGTACTTGGCAAGTCTGAACTACCAAGGTCGCAAGTCCGAACTTTGCGTACTTGGTATTGAGAAACGGCTTCTCTCTTATCCTATCATGAGTGGTCACGCCCCCTACTGCTGATTGGCTCATTCTCTCTCCTCTCCCATCATGAGGGGTTACGCCCCCTAGTGCTGATTGGCTCACTCTCTCAGTGGTTTTGAACACAGCATGTTTTAAATGTTCCCTCTCAGCACTGTATCAAGGGTCATGATCTGTCATGAACACTGAAGACACAGTAACTCACATGCCTTCCTCCTTCGCAATCTCAGCCAGGATAATGGGGGTGGACTGGGACTTCCGGTTCTCATCCACTAAGACCAACGACAAATATCAAATATGTAATCATTCTTCATGCCTTTTCATTATTGAGAGAGTGAGACACATGAAACATTTATACTTTTAACTTATATTATATATATATACACTATACTTGTACTTTTTTAATGGAAAGGTTTATTGAAACTTTAGACAAAATATACAAAATATTTGCATGTTCATATTTGAGAGAGGCTTTTATGGCACATTTAGTATGATATATGACAATAAAGTGCTCATTCTCGAGGACACAAAAAAAAGACATTTTATTATTTTGGCTTATACAGTCAAAAAGTAAGATGAAATTCTGATGCATGTAAATCAATGAGATCTTTATAACAGTATACTGACTACTTGCATTATATCGGTTGTCACTATCTCTAAATCTTCGTAGGGTGATATTTAATGCTAGTTTTATGATCAAAGCTCTGTGGTTTTAAAACATATAATGCAATGCAATGCAATACAATGATGATTGAGTGACGAACAAATAAACCTTCCTCAAAAGCCTGATATTTTAACAAAATGACGTATGAATAATCAAGTAAAGCTATGTTTCTTCAGTTACATTGAGTGTTAATCTTGAAATATTATTAACAACATAAAAGTTATTCTGCCGTTTACTTTATAAAAATCAGTAAAGATTCCACAGATGTGTAAACCATAAGCTGAAGGTGGATGTTTGTACAATTACACTAAAAGGTTTTTTTTACTTGCTAAAACAGATCGATTAAAGGCTTGTGGTATATTGTGCAACAGGTTTTTCAGCAAAGTTTGTATCATGGTGATAGTTTAGATCCTTATAATTTTGCGTATCAAATATGATACAGTTTTGAAAATCAATACAAATTTCTAGCTTAATAAACAGTTTAAAGCACAGTATAACTAGGAAGTTTTTATTCATTAAAACAATTTCCATTACACTGCTGCTATTTTTCTGTTAGAATTGTTTTAAATGTTATAATGTCAATATTTAATTTAGATTTTACTTCATTTAAATATAAAACAAAGAAAATAGCTTACCCTGAAGTCTGATCCTGGCTGTGTCCAGAGGGAAAAACACTGTCATTGCTGTCACACTGCCCTTCAAGGCAATAAAACACAGTTTAACAAACATCCCACATTCAGAATATTATTAAATCCCAGGGGAAGACACTTATAAAATATAAGCTAGTTTTTAGTGTGGTGTTTTCTCACCATTGCGCCTGCCACCGCATGCACAAGTGTCTCATATGACAGCAGGGCGACTGATCTGCCGCTGTCTGACATCTCGCTTTTACTCTCTCTTCAGTCCTAAACAACTGACTGCAGCGTCTTGGCTTTATGTAAATTAGTTGACAGTCATAACTAATAAATCTCAGATTAATTACAGTGGAACAGTCGAATCACGTTCGACTTCCGCGTTCGACTCTCTTGGATACTTGTGCGGATGCTTCTAGTCCCCGCTGCTCTTCAGCGCCCCGAGCGGCGGGGTGACACACTGCAGTCACGGTCTACTTCCTACAGGGGGAGCTTGTGACTCGGAAATCAGATCCGCTTTTCTCTTTCTGGACAATAATCACAACTCAATATTACGGTATTATTGGGAATACTATTATTTTAGAAATTATTGGAACCACAGCTGATGTTTTTGGTCTCTTGTTCTCACTAACTATGTATATCTTAGTGGAAATCGTGAAAGGTTTAGGTAACCCTCACGAAAAAGTTTAAGTGTGCTAATTATATTATACATTTTTAATCTAAAAATAAGAAAGTTTGCTTTCAGTCTTTGGTATCACGTTATTTTAATGTGATATCAGTCTACGCGTTAACTAACTAACTTAACCCTGAACCAAATCCTAACGGTAAGTAACTCTATAGTAGGCTACATGTTAAGTAATACAAAGTATAACCCTACTTTTTATGTTGCTAGCTACAGAAATATAGCAAGTAAGCTAACTTAAACTGACAGAAAAGTCCGTGTATGGTCTATACTTGTACTCAATCTTTTTTTTTACCCACATAGTTTACTGAGTTAGTAAATATGTGAATTCGTGTAGACTGGTGGTGTCCATAAGAATTTACTTCAAATCAACTTATAGTACAGTTGAAGGTATACCGTATAGGTAACGCTTCCTTTTACAGTACAGTACAGTGTACTTACTTAGCAAGTACTGGGTTAGAGATAGGTTTAAGGTTAGTACCTTGTTATTACAAAAATCATACCTAAATAGGAACATAATAGTACACTAAAAAATGCTGGGTTGTTTTAACCCAATATTGGATCAAATATGACCTTGGGTTAAAACAATCCAGCATTTTTTTAGAGTAAAGTGCACAAATAATATATAAACAGTAAACTATAAGTATGATGTTGAGTTCACTTAACAGTATACTTGCAGTAAAACTAGTAGTCATACTGAGAGTGTACTTTCACAAACAAAAAAAAGTGTATACCTCCTTTAGCCTATAGCTGCATTACAAATGGAAAAACTTAGTTGTGTATAAGTTTACTGTAACACTAATAATTAAAGGTATACTTTTATATACTGAATAACAAGTGGGCCAATTTACTCCCAAGTAGTATTGAAAAAGCATTTACAAGGATACTTCTAGTACTTTGATGTTATTAGTAAACTAAATGCCCACTTCTCAGACAGCAACACATTGTCGGCCCAGATCCGGCCCACATCTGGTACGCATTGAATCCACATGCACCAGATGTGGCTGGGATCTGGGCCGATGCTACTGTATGATGCTATTAAATTTGACTTCGAGCTCTCTCAAAAATTAATAAATAAAAAAATATATATAAGACATAGTTAAAGCGTTCTGTGTTAAGGGGGAAGTGTCATACATACAATAACATCTGCTCGATTAAAATAAAATGAGAAATGACTTTGACTTCTTAACTCAAGATATTGACATTTGAAATATTAAAATGAAAACTATAACAATAAGAGTATCTCGGTCAAACTAACACTGATGGCGTGTGTCTGCATGGTAAACGATTCCAGATCAGCCTGGACTTTAGTTTATGACAGTGACATGGGTGTCAGAGTTTCTCCTCCCTCAGACACACACACAGAGACCGAGCACGCAAGAGGAGTGAGCAATGATGCTCCTGTAACACTTCGTGAAATACAGTTCACTTGCTGAAGAAGAGAGATAGTTATTACAGCCATGTCACGATATCACAAAGCAGCCATTGATGGCTATTTGGAGCTACTGAAAGAAGCCACAAGAAAAGACCTGAACACGCCGGATGAGGACGGCATGACACCCACTCTCTGGGCCGCGTACCACGGACACATTGAGGCTCTTCAGCTGATCTGTAGCAGAGGGTGAGCTCAGAAAACACACTTTCCCACACACAGCCTACTGATCATGTTCTGTGTATGGCTAGCTTTACACATTTAATCAAGTCTATACATTGAGCTTTCATCCAGGATAGTGTTTTATTTTACAGTTTTACAATGGGTGTTACCTTGCTTTGTTTGTCTTATAACTGTTTTTAATCATTGAAGGCCATGTTACATTTAGCAACTGTAAAAAATATTTTCAAGATTTGTTATCACAACATATTTTCTTTTGTCAAATCAACTTTATAATAATTTATTTAGTTGAGATAACTTGTTATTTTGAGTTTGTGATGATTAAATCATTCACTTTTTCCAGTTCAATCAACTTAAAATTTCAAGGCAACCCAGGTTACTTACTTTTTTAAGTTAAACCAACAATATTTTTTTTACAGTGTAGTAATCACAACATTTTTTCTTTTGTCAAATCAACTTAAATAATTTATTTAGTTCAGATAACATATCATTTTGAGTTTGTGATGATTAAATCATTCTCCTTCATTGTATTAACTCGTTTTTTCCAGTTCAATGAACTTAAAATTTTAAGGCAACCAGGTTACTTACTTTTTTCAATATTTTTTACTATACAAGCAAACTGTGATCTTGATCCTTTTGTGATCTAGGACTTTTCATTATTGCAGTGGGTACCTTGTGAAAAATAAGTGTGCTTAATTGTATTGAATGTGCACTTGTAGACCCTAAAAGTGTATATTTTTTATTTAAAAAATATGTTTTTAGATAGCATAATAATAATGAAACAAAAAGCCACTTAAGTGCCCTTAAAGAGAGACACTTTCATGACTGTTTCTTAACACACTTACAGTAAGTAGACTTTTAAAAGTGCACTTTGCAATATTGTCAAATTCAAAAGTTTTACTGTAAAGTATTCGATGTGTTGACAAAGCACATGTGAAGTACTTGATTAAAAATATTGTTGGTTTAACTTAAAAAAATAAGTAACCTGGTTGCCTTAATATTTTAAGTTCTCTGAAAAGTTAATACAATGAAGGAGATTAATTTAATCACCAGAAACTCAAAATATTATGTGTATCTGAACTACATAAATTATCTAAGTTGATTTGACAAAAAGAAGAAAAAATGTTGTGATTACAAATCATGAACATATTTTTTTTTACAGTGAGAGTTACTGTATGTTTATGTTAAATACTTTATATGTTAGTTTAAATGTCCTTATTTACACACACTTTTCAACAGAAATGACATTAAAGTGTATTTTAGTTTATCATTAATGTTTGTCAATACATTCAGCAGTAACTTTATTCAAAAACAACAAAGTAATTGTGAAATTACATTTAAAGATGTACTTAAGTCTTACTTACTGTGTCAAAAAGCATTGCATTTAATATAAATTGAATTGCAACATGCACTAAAGTGTCTAAAACCATTACATTAATTTCACACTCAAATATCCTTTTTTGAAATTTTATTATGTCCGTAATAAGTACTCTTTTAAAAAAGTATACTAAAGTGTGCTTCGTTTTCACAAGGGGTGTTTATACATTACATATTTGCCAGATTAAACCATCTTTATGACCTTTGGGCGGTTTCCTTGGAGTCTCTTTGCTTTATGAGCTAAGTTCACCACTCGCGATTGTACTACAGCAAATCACATAAACCGATGTCATCAATATAACAGCCTACCACTGAAACACTCAGCATGATAAAAAGTTGATTCGAATCACAGCATTTATTTAGTTCAGTCTCGGGGAAGCTCTGTGTCCTCCTCTGACTTTCTTTCTCGCACGATCTGCTGCGTACATCGCTTGTAAAATTCCCAGAGTTGACGCCAAGAGTTTAATCAGTCAAATTAGTTATGCAAATCTGGAACAAAAGGCCTCTTCATCCCTCCAGCATTTGCTCAGGGTAGAGTTTATTTATTGAGTGCAGCATTGAGGCCGATCTCACTCAAAGAGCACTGATCGCCAAGGTTGGCCCTCAAACCGTATACAAGCACCTTTCTAAATGTGCTGTGTGATGAATGCGAAGCTGGGTATGGATATTCAGATATATAATCTGAAAGTTAGTCTCTCTTTTTAATGATAGTTTTCACAACCTGTGCCGCTTGTACTGTGCGCCTCATCCGCTGAGGAACAGATGGTGCTCAGTCAGTGAGATAAGCTCTTGTAGATATTGTAATCAGAGATTTTATGGGTGGACCTGATGGACTTTCGTTTTACAGCCGGTTACATATTGACTCTTTGGATGGATTTAACCTCAAGCATCATGAGTTACGAGAAAATATGTTAGGGTGGAATTTTAATTGCTTCTGCTGGGGACAAATGAGTCTGAGAGGTGATAAAGATTGTGGTCATTTTGCTGTTGCTTTATCTAATTTGTCTTAAAGTGCTCATTAATATGTTTATAATTATATTTTTGGAGAAAATGTATACATTTACATGATTCATGGCAGAAATAGTAAGAGTAATATGCGGTTTTAACTCCTTTCTCTTAAAGGCCCGCCTTCCTAAACACCCAGACTTCTCTGATTGGTCAGCTGGCCCAATCTGTTGTGATTGGTCTACGCCTTAGAGCTTGTGTGAGAAACGTAACGCCCCTTACTATGATCGGTTATCAGCTTCTGAGGATTTGTGAGCTGTTGAAAACGGTATTTTATCTATGGGAACTATGACATCGGTAATGACAAACAAGTTTGAGCTAAAGTCCGATAATTAAATAATGAGATCTCCTTGTCATAGCAAAATCATTTACCCAACTGTTTTGGTGACATGGCTAAGTCATGGAAACAGTAGCACCTCTTTTCAGTACACAAGATCCAGAGGGTGGAGTCGGATCCGGATCTGAGGGGTGGAGTTGGGTAGGTTTAGGGGTGGGGTTAGGGATCAGGGGGTGGAGCTGGGTAGGTTTAGGTATACGTAAGGTGGGAGGAGTTGGATCTGGATCCGACTCCTCCCCGTGGATTTCATGTTCTGCAGTGAGGACCATCGCCATGGAAATGGCAGGACTACAATGGAGGCGTTTTAGGCATCTGCAGTACCCTTGTACAATTAGAATTTGCTCAGAGAGTCACTCTGGCATTGAGTAATGATGCTCATTAACTATTCCCTTGTAGACGAGCTGCACCAATCACATCGGTGTATCTGATATAGGCGAGCCAGAGGTGAGCTGCAATGTCAAAGTCATTAGTAAACATTGAAAGATGGCTATGGATGAACACCAGTTGTTTGAAATGGCTTTAGCCACTACAATGAACAAGCTAGACTTGGCTTTTTATCTAAAAGAGGAACAGAAGATGGTGCTCGGATCGTTCCTTTGCAAGAAGGACGTTTTCGCTTTTTTGCCGACCGGTTACGGCAAAAGTCTAATCTACCAGTTAGCTCCGCTGGTGGCTAAGCGTATGATGCGTATTGTTGTGATCGGTCATAGTGTTATCCAATTGCGTGCAGTGAGATTTTCAAATGCATGCTTGGTGCTTCCCCTCGAGGGGGCGATTTTCATTACTCAATGCCAGACCCTTAAAGGGTCACTCCACCTCTGGAAAGATTAATGGGTATTTAAAATGGGTAATTTATGTAGAAGAAATGTGAAATTATTTTTGAATTTGGAGCTTTCTAGACTGAGAAAAGCCAGAAAAATTTATTTTTGGCTTATGTGGATGAAAGACAACAACTCCCAGAATGCAATTGCTTCACTGCCCTAGGAGGCCACGCCTACCGGTAACAAAGCGCAGTAGTTAAACAACAAGTCTAGGCTACTAGTCAGTCTCTGTGATGAGTTTGCCTGAAAATGTGTTTCGAGATCGCCCAAAATGTCCGGGATTCGGCTTTTGCGTTCTACAGTCGCCATTCATCATATTTACTGTGGCGAGCGGGACGAGTGAGGGCCGCGGGAGAACGGCGTGAGGCCGATGGCGGGATTACCGATGAGCGACACCCGTGAGACGCACCGGTCTCGTCTCTCTCTCACGGAGCAGCGGGGATTTTCTTAGCAATGTTAAAACGCACATCAACCGATCACTTGATTAGCGTTCATGTAAACACTACATTCAGATTCACCAATCAGAATGAATTCAGTTAGATTGAAACAAAAGCTGTGCATGTAAACAATGAATGGCGACTGCAGAAAGCAAAAGCTGAATCCCGGAGATCGACGGCCGGACATGTCCGGGAAAAAGAGGACGGTAAACCCTAAAGTTACTACTCAGCTTTCTCCACAGAACAAGAGCCTGCTAGCTTAGCTTCCAAAAAAAGATGGCTGACACTATGTGTAATCCTAATCCTCCATAATGCATCCGTCTGTGTATTCAGTAACTTTGTCCTTATTTACAAAAAGTTTCTGCCGGTGAAATCAAATGCACTGGCACTGATCTGTGATTGGTCTGTTAGGGCATTAGGCCCAACGTTCTTCAGACGAAGAACAGTAACAATGACTATAACTATATCAGCGTCCACACCAATGGACGATACCACTAATTACTACAAACAGGCACCAGATACAGTAGTCTCTTTAAAGCAGGATTCTGATTGGCTGAAAAAATAATAATTCTGAGATTGTTGTTACAACTATATCGTTCCACTGAACCGTTATTATTATAGCTGTGGTGTGGACTTCCCTATTCTCATAGATTAAGAACAATTAAACAAACTTCATAGTTAAAGTTATCGTCCTTGGTGTGACCGGGTCTTTTTTCCCTTGTCTTGAACTAAATTTTCCTGATACTACTGTGGATGAATTCGGAACATTGCTGAGCGTTTGCTAACTAGGTTGTGTAAGATGAGACCAGCTCATTCAAGTCTGAGTCCAGTAGGTTGAGCCTGAGTCAAGACTGCGACAAGACCCAGACAGCAACATAATGGTCGACCCACGTCTGGTATGAGTTGAATCCACATGTACCAGATGTGGCCCGGATCTGGGCTGACACTACGTTGCTGTCTGGGGAAGTGGGTCGAGTCCAATTCCCCATGCTGTTCTCAAAGAAAAATGAACTGGTGTAGTTGGTCCTCATGCAAAGCCTACCTTATGCTGACCAGCAATGTAGGATTTTTCAGCACAGTCAGTGTAAATATGCTCTCCTTTGGAGTGAATAAAGCCTGGTTTGTATTAGATAATATGAGTGAGTTGGTAAAGATCAGAAAATATGTGTAGTGTTGAAGTACTCAAGACTGGACTCAAGACAAAATCCATTACAAAACCAAGACCATGGCCAGACCAGTCTTAAGTCCTTCATTACTGATGGGTGGATGCTAAGGCACTGCTAGTTCGTTTTTAGGGTTTTCTCTGTTGTTTCTTAATAGTCTAAGTCAAAAGAGTCCATCCCCAAGTCTCCATGATACTCTTAAGTCCCTCCTTCAGTGTAATGTGAATTTCCTCTCCTGTTTTTCGCTGCATAATTTAGGGAACTAACAGCACCTGTTTTCAACAAGCAGCGTGATTTGAGGTGCTATTAATGGCCATAGTACAAGCACACGGGCAACCCAGACAGCAACATAGTGTCGGCCCAGATCCGGCCCACATTTGGCACACATTGAATCCACGTACAAGATGTGGTCCGGATCTGGGCCGACACTATGTTGCTGTCTGGGGAAACCCTTAAACGTTTGTATGCGAAATAGAAATAGTGTTGCAAACAACATTAATTATATTAAATAAATAATTGTTCATCATTATCTGTCTTGTAGGGGGGATCCGAACAAAAGTGACATCTGGGGGAACACACCTCTGCATCACGCCTCTGCAAACGGACACATGCAGATCGTCAGCTTCTTAGTGAACTTTGGAGCCAACCTCTTCGCTCTGGACAATGATTTCCACACTCCCATGGACGTGGCTGCCTCTCGAGACCACATGGACAGCGTCCGATTCCTGGACACTGCGGCTGCGCAACAGACAGCCCAGAACGCCAAAAGGGTTGCCCGTCTGAAAGATCAGGCCACTAAAGATGCCGAGCGCAGAGTGAAGCAGTGCGAACGGGTACAGAAGAAACATCAGAGTAAGATGGACAAGATGTCTCGCGGCGGCTCGGTCTCGGAGGGAAGTTCCTTTTCCGGCACGGGTACCTTGAGCAGCATGAACAGCGATCAGTTCTCCAAACTCATTGCCGCGGACGCCAATGGATCGGTCTCTTCAACGATCAAGGGAACCCTCCAGCGCAAATTTGGGAAGAAGGACAAAGGGACAGTGAGTAGACAAGGGGACGGCAATGTCATTTTTGTCAAACAAGACATCGGCTCGCAAGAGAAACCTGGTTTTGTTGACGTCTTCAATGAGCAGGATGAAATTCAGGATGATGATGATGACGATGCCGAGCGAGGATTGGATGACGAGGGGCCCAGTCAGGTGAAGTCTATTTTCGAAAGGCCTGGTCTTGGGAAAATGGTGTTCCGTAGGAACTTCTCCATGGAAATGGCCATGGACACTGAAGACCTCCCCATTGGTAACACAGAAGACCTTGGGTTCCTCGTCCGTCAAGAGTTGTTGGAAACTGTGGATGAAGGGCTGGAGGGATTTGACAAGGATTCAGAACTGCCTTGGAATGAAGAGGAGATTGGTCTGGATGAGGAAGAGGAGACCTCACACTTGGATTCGTTCTTGGCGTCGATCGGCCTGTTGGATTTCGGTCCTGTGTTCACCCGTGAACACTTGGATCTTGAAGCCCTGATGCTCTGCTCAGATGATGATCTCAAAGGCATCCGCATCCAGCTAGGGCCACGCAAAAAGATCCTGGAAGCGTCGGCTCGCAGGAAAGTTGCGCTGGAGCAGCCTGGCGTTATGAAGGACACCTTCCTTTAATAACACGTTGCACTCAGTTCTGCTAAACACAAACATTTACAGTTTCTCTCAGCTGACATTACTTTACCATCATGTAGGTGTTATTTGATAGCTGGCTTTCTGTGATTTCAATGATTTTACACATTAAAATGTCCTTCATGTAGACCAATAAGTTTAAACTCTCACACAAACATTTGGCTTCAGCTATGATTTTTTGAAAATCAACCCTTTTTTTTGAAGAATATGTTGATTTCTGCTGCTTTTTCATCTCTGAAAAAAAGAACACATGTCTAAATAAATATAACACTGTTCATTTCTAAAGATGTTCTGTCTGTCTGTTCATCCATCTATAGGAATTACCAAACACATCCTCTAATTCAGTGTTTCCCAACCCTGTTCCTGGCGGCACACCAACACTGCGCGTATTCTTTGTCTCCCTTATCCAACACACCTGATTCAACTTCATCAGCTCATAATCACATCACATGGGTTAATGAGCTGATGACTTGAATCAGGTGTGTTTGATTAGGGAGACAAAGAATACGCGGAGTGTTGGTGTGCCACCAGGAACAGGGTTGGGAAACACTGCTCTAATTAGAGACTTTATATAGAATATTATAGAATTAAGCCTAATGTCTGTTAACTGAATGAAACAGAAACAAAGGAGACATTTCATCAGTAACTTCATCTTAGATAATGCATTTTAGACGAAGGAACTAACGCCTGCAGCTGCATAACCATAAGAAGGAGGTACATCAAGAAGACAGCTAGATTGAAGATTGATTGATTGACACTGAAGGAGAAAATCACTATTTTTAGTCACCATTGTGGGGATCAGTGTGTGCTTTAGTTGGGCTCTTGACCCTTACATTTTTAACTTTAGATTTTGTTTGACTATTGTAACTGAGTTATAACTGCCAGATGAACAAAGAGAAAAGATGATCTGAAGTTGTTGTGATTCATTTTACCTGAATCACAAAACTATTTTAGAGCCCAATCTCTGAATTATATTTATATTGTCCATTGCAGCATCACAGTGATTCTACACCATAAGAGCCAGAATGTTCAATATATTCCAAAGGATTTCTTAAAACTTGTTCTGATAAAGTAATAAAAAAAATGTGTATGTACAAACAGACGTCAAGCATGAGTATATGAATCTCAACAATGGTGACAAATTAAATATTTAATAATGGAAAAGGACAGTTCAGATCATAATTTATTCATACTGCAATGCATTATGGGAGCCATTAATGAGTTTTGATTGGTGGCACCCAGAATTCACTGCAACATGGTTTATTATCGTCACCATTGTTGAGATTCACAGGCTGAATCTTGATGTCTATGTGACTTAATAAAAAGATATAAGTCTTTTGAACAGAAATATCAATAATATTTAGGGGATTCTATAGGAAATGCTACAAAGTGTATCCTGTAGAATCACCAGGCTGCTGTAATCAACAAGGTAAACCTAATTATCTAAATTGTAGTCCTCTGTTGTAAGTCACTTTGGTTAAAAGCATCTGTTAAATGTAAATGATTCAAGTCTAATGATGATTACGTGTAAACACAACCATCACCACCTGAACACCATTCTCCTTGTTCATGTGGCAGTTCTACACATTACAACTCAATCATAACAGCCAAACAAAATCTAAAGTTAATAATTTAAGGGTCAAGAGCCCAACTAAAGCAAACACTGATCACCATAATGGTGATTTAAGATTAGATTATCTCCATTAGTGATTCTTGATGTCTTCAATGATGGTCAATCATCACACAATTAATAACATAATTATCAAATTAATTTAACACTCTTCAGTGTTCATTTAACATTCATTTTTGAACACTTTAACTCTTTGATTGTGGAGTCAAATAAACTCCCAGGAGAGTTAATTTAACACTGGAGTTTTTGCTGTGTAGGATTACATTCTTGCTTTAACACGTCACATTACAAGAACGTTTTATAAAATGCATATCCTCAAAACGTTTTGCAAACGTTGATTTGATAATGTCCCTCCTTTGTTATAATGGAAAATTGTATAATCTTTTATCTCAACAACTTTCCCAAAACATCCTCAAAATGGTACAGTTAAAACGTTATATCTTAGTTTAAATTTATCCTTATAGAAACATTATTTGAAATGAGAAAACATCCTTAAAACATTCTTTGAACATTTCTTTAAAATATTAACCAAATTGGGAATGTTAGCCAATGTTCTGAGAACATTCCCTGCTAGCAGTAACAACAGTTAGAATCTGTTGGGTTTGTGCACTGTGTGTTTGGACTGTTTCAGATAAAGGTAAAAAGGAAAACCTGGCACTGACGCAGCTGCTTCTTCCACTGCGATCTTCAGTACTTCCTCTTGCTGGAGCGTCTCCTCTGGTTTTAGGCAGCAGTTCTACTTTTTCAGGCTTGAAACTTTGACTATTGTAACTGAGTTATAACTGCCAGATGAACAAAGAGAAAAGGTGATCTGAAGTTGTTGTGATTCATTTTACCTGAATCACAAAACTATTTTAGAGCCCAATCTCTGACTTATATTTATATTGTCGATTGCAGCATCACAGTGATTCTACACCATAAGAGCCAGAATGTTCAATATATTCCAAAGGATTTCTTAAAACTTGTTCTAAAAAAGTAATAAAAAAATTGTGTATGTACAAACAGACGTCAAGCATGAGTATATGAATCTCAACAATGGTGACAAATTAAATGACACGTCACATTACAAGAACGTTTTATAAAATGCATATCCTCAAAACGTTTTGCAAACGTTGATTTGATAATGTCCCTCCTTTGTTATAATGGAAAATTGTATAATCTTTTATCTCAACAACTTTCCCAAAACATCCTCAAAATGGTACAGTTAAAACGTTATATCTTAGTTTAAATTTATCCTTATAGAAACATTATTTGAAATGAGAAAACATCCTTAAAACATTCTTTGAACATTTCTTTAAAATATTAACCAAATTGGGAATGTTAGCCAATGTTCTGAGAACATTCCAAATTGCATGGATCTCTTGATGAGTGCAGTGCTGGTTGAATGGTTTCACGTGCACACCCTGTGGTTTTAGGGGGACTCAACACATTAGTTTAGATTAGATCTGTTGATTGGACCCAGGGTGGGACCTCGTGAAGCTTGAGGTAGGGTGCAAGGTGGGTGTGTGAGAGACAGGGGTCGCTGTAGATCACAACCACAATATTCAACGCTATCTCACGACCAATTCGTACGAATTCGACGCATGATTAAAAAGTGGCTAATTCGTACTAATTCGTACGACCTCACTCGTACTAATTCGTACGATTTGTCTAAACCCACGTGATGGTTAGGTTTAGGGGCGGGGTAAGGGGTAGGTCATTCGTACGAATTCATACGAATTGGCCAATTCGTAAAATATGTACGATTTAGCAAAATCGTATTAATTCGTAGGAGTGAGGTCGTATGAATTGTTACGAATTAGCCACTTTTTAATCATTCGTCGAATTCGTACGACTTGGTCGTGAGATCGGGTTGCAATATTTTGCAACTGCGTTTCCAAAGATTGACTCAGTGCCTGCACTCTTTACACTCCAAAATATAAATTTCACATTCAACAAAGTACCAGAGAGTACCATGGTGTTTTGGACATTAACCTGTTTCTGACAGCTGACTCACAAAGATACTCATATTTTTTTATATTCTATGCTGTTGTAGTCAGTTCACAGCAGTGACAGAAATAAATAAATGTTATTAAGGGGCAATATTTACTACCTTAAATATATATCCAGGGGCATAATAACACGATACCACTGTTAGTCAAATTAAATCATTAAATCAAAACCATCTGCAGTGCAGAGGTGACACCGAAGCGTCATCAGAACTGCCATTAATATTTCACTGCATTTACAAAAGGAAAGAAAGAAAGGAGGGATTTAATAGAGACTGAATCATCGGACAATTTGTTTGAGAATCATTGAAAAATGTGGAGATGTACAACAATGTATATTCTGAGAGAATGAAAGCGTTTGTTGTAGGAGATCTCCAACGCAAGATTTGTATTTTAAAAACGGTTTTAAGACAGTTATTTATATATTTTGCTGTAGTGTCAGTAGGAAATATCAGTTTATATGTATTTTTCCATTCTAATAATCCAGTGAGATTTTTATATGCATAAGGAGTCTGTCAACAGCCGATATGCTCCACACGGAGATCTGATCTCACCATAATCGAGTCCATCTGGGATTACATGAAGAAACAGAAAAAAATACTAAATCCAGAAGAACTGCGGCAATGTCTCCAAGACTCTTGAAGAAATATTCCTGAAAAGCTATGTGCAAGTCTACCTGGACAACAGCTGCTTTAAACGCAAAGCGTGGTCACACCAAATATCAGTTTATAGAAGCTAATTGATAAATCAAATCTATTTATGACATTATTTTGGAAAGCATCCTCACTTTACAGCATTTTTACACAAGTGCCTAAAGTGTCTCACAGTACTGCAGCTTTGCAGGAAGGTTTCAAACATCTTGGAGACATTGCTGCAGTTCTTCTGCATTTAGTCTTTCTCCGTTTTCTCTGTTTCTTCATGTAATCACGGACAGGCTTGATTAGAGATCAGATTATACCGGCTCTTGTCACTCCTTGAGGAAAAAACAAAAAACTTGCTGGATTATTACCATTAATGGCAAAATGAATGTTTGGAAATGTAAGCGGACACACTACAGCAAAATATATTAATAGCGGGCTTAAAACTATTTTTGGGGGGTGAAAATACTAAAGTGGCCAAGACTTTAGCACAGTAGTGTGTGTATACAAACTTTAGCACAGTAGTGTGTGTATAGAGAATGTTGCATGCACACAAGAAACTTTATCGGCCCCTCAAGAAACATTTTACATGCGCACAGGATTTTTTTTCCATGCTTACAATTACACATTACAATTTCTAGTTTTATATACTAACCCTAATCTATGAAGAAAAAGAAAGCAAATGCACATGAATTAGTAGAAATCTGGGCCTGTTGGTCAAAATTTGGCTTTCCTTGGGGTAGTACCTCTAATTAAGGCCTACAGTCCAATTTAATGATTTATTATAAAATGTATAATTTATTATAAATGTCCCTGAGCTTGTATCATTACTTCATAGAAAAGACAAGTTGTTTTAGTAGTATTATATTCCAGTTACTTGGATGATATAAATCTTAAAGGGCAACAAAATCTTGTGAATTTGCTAACATTAGAACGAAATAGCCTAAAATAGGACAAATAGTAATAGTTGTGTTTGCAATTGTGCCGCCCATTGATTGATTGCGAGACTCCGGTTTCCTTAACAGATGTTTATTAACACCGTAGAACTAAAAGTTCAGATAAACAAACAAAAGACAACATAAAACATTGCAATCAATTGCATGGATCACATGGCTTGCACTGAAGCTAAAGAATACAGAAAAATACTGACCACTTTAGCCTGCTTCTCAATCAACAGCAGAGTCATTCCCCAGAAGCAATCTTCATAGTCAAAATATGATTCTTCAACTTGTACACATTTACAGCAAACACCATGAAAAATTAAGCAACAATAAAGAAAAACTAGAAGATGCCATCACCGACACATGTGCGCGTTAACCTCGTCTGCCGCACACTGCGTTTTCTTCGTCTGTAGCTCACTGTGCAACAGACCTTCCTTCCGGTTTTACTCATGTCAAAATAAAAGTAAGTATTTTTAAAATAAATACAAAAAAAAAAACACGGCTGCATTTACACTCCCACCATCACACCTTGTGATTCACATTACAACATTGTCAACAGAATCTTGTAAAACATTGATGTAAATACACATACACCTTCAATTATAAACAAAACGATATTGAAGAACTAACCTACTTACTCAGCCTCAAGCAATAATACTGTTTTGTGTATTGACCTTTCTAAGTAAAGTGGCTTATTTGAGCGTGTACCTTTACTGTCTAGCGTTGTGTCACTAAGTAACAGCTTGAGTTTTCGGACTCTTCCGTCAGCTCCTTGGAAGACTTCAACTACCTTCGCAAGCTTCCACTGAGTTCTTGGTGAGCCATCATCTTGCAACAGGACAATGTCATTCACTTTAGCATTTCTCCTTTCCTTGTTCCATTTGCTCCTCTGCTGCAGATTCAGCAAATACTCCTTTCTCCACCTGGTCCAAAATTCATTGCACAAGAACTGTACTCTCTTCCATCTTTTCTGAAGATAGAGATCTTCCCTTACAAACTCACCAGGTGGTGGAGCGATTATTGACGATTTCATCGTCAATATGTGGTTTGGCGTTAGGGGTTCAGGTCCTGAAGGATCATTGAGATGTTCTGTGGTCAATGGTCGACTATTCACTATAGCCATCACTTCGTACAGGAATGTTCTTAATGAAGAGCTGTCTAATCTTCCAGCAGACTGGTCTAGGATAGATGTGAGGACACTTCTCACGGTCCGAATCTGCCTCTCCCAGACGCCGCCCATGTGACTGGAAGCAGGTGGGTTCATGACAAAGTTGCATCCTAGCTCTTTCACATGTTCTCGCTCCATCCCTTTCATTAATTCTTGGAATTCATTGCGTGCTCCCACGAAGTTTGTGCCTTGATCACTTTGAAGCTGGCTTACATTGCCTCTTATGGCAATAAAACAGCGCAACGCATTTAGGAAGGCATCAGTGGAAAGGTCATCCAGCACCTCAATGTGGATGGCACGTGAACACATGCAGGTGAATAGAAGCCCATATCTCTTCAGGTCTTTTCTTCCATCTTTAACATAAAATGGTCCGAAGCAATCCATACCACTATAAGTAAATGGAGGAGTAGCTTCCATCCTCTCTGGTGGAAGGTCGGCCATTTTTTGTTCTTGACTACACCTTCTGAGCTTTCTGCATTTGATGCACTTGAAAATGAGTGATGACACTTCACTACTACATCCAAGGATCCAAATCCCACTGGAGCGTAGTTCATTGATGGTCATTCCACGACCCTGATGCTTCACCTTCTCATGATAGTGTTTTATCAACAACCGAGACACATGGTGTCCTTTGGGAAGGATAGCTGGGTGTTTGACATGAGGGTGAAGCGTTGCTTGTGTCAATCTACCTCCCACCCTCAGGATATCTTGGCTGTCCATAAAGGGGTTCAACTTATGCAGTTCGGTTGACTTGCTCCTTTGTACATCACCCTTTTGTTTAAGAGCCTTGATTTCATCCTTGAACGCTTCTTCTTGAACTGCACGGAATATGAATTTTTCAGCATCCATTCTCTCATCAAGTGCCGTAACTTCATTGGATCTTATTTTAAGACCTTTCACCTCCTTTGCAAGACGCTTAAGTCTCGCTATGGCTCTTATTACCCTCTTCCAGTCTGAAAACTTCTGAAGTCGGTCTGATAGGGACCTTTCCTTATTTGCTATGGTTGTGTGAACATGTGCTCTTCTGATTTCTGGGTCATCCTCATTGAGTTCTTCCACCTTAATCTCTTCTTTATGGAGGTCCTTTTGCCACAAGAAACTAGGTCCAGTGAACCAGTTAGACTCTACAAGCTCCTTTGCGTTGAGCCCGCGCGAGGCATGGTCAGCCGGGTTACTGTCAGATGCAACATATTGCCATTGACTTGGATCCGTGCTCGACTTAATCTGCTGAATCCGATTGGCTACAAATACATGAAATCGCCTTTCATCATTGTTAATATAACCAAGAACGACCTTTGAATCAGTCCAAAAGTATTCTTGCAGATCTTTAATCTCCATTTCTCTCCTTAGCAGATCACTTGTCCTTGTGGCCACGACCGCAGCTGAGAGTTCCAGCCTTGGGATAGTTGTTATCTTAGTTGGTGCAACCCTTGCCTTGCCCATAACAAGAGCGCAATGGACTTCTTCAGACTTCGAAACAACTCTAAGGTAAGAACACATTCCATAGCCAGAGACACTGGCATCGGAGAAATGGTGAAGTTCACACTGACGAACATCCTTGGCTGCCAATGGTATGTAATGCCGTGGTATCTCTACCGAGGACAGACTATGAAGGTCTTGGAGCCATGCTTCCCAATGTGGCCTAAGGTCGTCAGGAAGTGGGTCATCCCATCCTACCTTTTCCTGGCACATCCTTTGTAGTATCTGTTTACCCTTCAAAAGAATAGGTGCCACAAATCCAAGTGGATCAAAAATTGAGGCCACTGTTGACAGTACTCCTCTTCTGGTAAAAGGATGCTCTTTTACCTTCACTTTGAACTGGAACTTATCCGAGCTAATGCACCATTGGACCCCGAGAGCCCGTTCCATCTTGTGCTCACCCAAGGCCATGTCCAGGTCCGCTACAACTTCAGCAAGTTCTTGCTTTGGAATTGTGGCAAGAACCTTCTTGTTATTGCTGATGAACTTGTGTAAGCGGAGTTTACGGTGCTGCAGAGGTCTCTTGCTTCTCTAACAAGCTTGATCTCTCATCACATAGTTCTCTGCTAAGCTTGTACCAGCAGCATACCTGATAGCTCCATAGTTAGTACCAGTTACGTGACAGTGATGCCATTTGTTTGATAGAACTGATCTTACAGTTAGACTCTTGCAATGACAGTGTCTGTCTCGTATCCACGGTGCTTGACAGAGTGCTTACTGCTTGCAGCATGATGATTGCAAGCTTCAGGTCTCCATTGCTTCTTCAGTAACCAGTCTTGTCTGATAGTTCTTCACTGTCCAAACTTGTTAGTCCATCGTCAACATAAAAGTTGCGTTGTATAAACCTTACAGTAGCTTCACTGAACTTGCCTTCTCCTTCTGCAGCAAGGTGTTTGAGCCCAAAGTTTGCGCATCCAGGTGACGATGCAGCGCCGAACAAGTGAACTTTCATGCGGAACACTGACGGTGGAGCTTCCATATTGCCTCTTTCCCACCACAAAACCTGAGATAGTCTTGATCCATTGGTGCAACATGAAATTGATGGAACATCCGCTCTACATCACACATGATGGCTACTTGTCCTTTGCGGAAACGACACAAGACCCCTACAAGGGTATTTGTAAGGTCTGGGCCGGTGAGTAGATGCTCATTCAATGATGTATTCTGAAACTTAGCTGAACAATCAAATACCACACGAATCTTTCCTGGCTTTTGGGGGTGGTAAACCCCATGGTGAGGGATATACCACGTGTTCTGATTGATCACCTCTGACTCTGGAACCTTTTCAGCGTCACCTCTTGCTATTACGTCCTCCATAAAGGCCACATAATCCTTGTGATATTGACTGTCTTTCTTAAGACGCTTCCCCAGACATTTGAGTCTATGTTCTGCACACACCTTGTTGTTTGGCAGACTTGGCCTCTCTTCCTTGAAAGGCAATGGCATTTCGTAATGCCCATTTGCCTTCTGCTTGATTCTCTCCTTTAGCTTCACCAAGAACTTAATATCTTCTTGTGAGATTAGAGATTCTTCACTGAACTTCTCAGTAAAATCTGACTCAAAGACCTTGAGTATATCTGCTGGAGTGATCATTTCCTTCACTTGAGTCCTATAAACAAAATGAACCTCAGACTTGAGCTCAGAAGAGGGCTTAGTGGCTGGCTGAACTTTCTTTATGATGATCCGGTGACTCACACCAATTTCATCTTCATCAGCATAGTCAATTACAGGTCTGCTGTAGCCAATAATGCTCCAACCCAACACAGACCTTTGTGCATATGGCTGGGTTTCATTGCCCATGATGACCTCTCTGGGAAGTAAGGCTTGTGGACAGTTATAGCCGATTAACAATCCCACTTCACAGTCAAGCTCAGGAGACATCTCATCCGCCAAATGCTCTAAGTGAGGCCAGGATCTTGCAGTTGTACTTGTGGGTATATGGGATCTGTTTGCTGGTATGTAATCTCTGGTATAAGTTGTTGGGAGTTTGATTTTAGTGTCAGAGCTGATGCCTCTTACCTGTAGTCCTTGCACCTTTTGGCTATTCACCACCTTTGTTTTTGATGTTATCGTGGACACTTTGAGTTTTACTGGCTCTCTCTTGGCACCCAATGTTACAGCTGCCTCCTTCAGAATGAACGTGGTGTCGCTCTGACTATCAAGTAAAGCATACACTAAAACTTCCTTGTCTGGTTCCATTGTCGTGGAGACATAGACTGGAACGATAGATGAAGTATAGGTGGTGCTCTTCTCTTGCACAACTCGATTAGAAGTAGCTTGTTGTATTTCAATCGGTTCAGACTGTTGGTACTTGTTTCCTTGCTCTTGGTCTTTCTTCTCACGATCTTGATGCAAGCAAGTGGGGTGACGTTTTCCACATAGGTCACATACACTCCTGGATGTACAAGCTCTGGAGTTATGGCCAATCCCAAGGCAGCCAAAACATAATTTCTCCAATTGTACAAACTTAACTCTTTCTTCAACTGGTTTTTCCCGAATCTTGAGACACCTATGGAGAGTATGGCCTTTCCTTTTGCAAAACATGCACGTGCTGCTTGTCTTCTCACTTGTATTAATGGTAAAAGTCTTAGCACTCAAGTTTTGATTTCGTTGATACTTAAACTGTTCTCGTTCGGTTGGCTTTGATCTTTCTTGTTCAGTAGGCTTGACAGCATATAATGATGTGATGGGGTTACATGCAATTCGAGCCTCCATGTTGAGAAATCTTACGAAGTATTTGAAGTCAGGGAACATTTGGTGTCCATCTTGATAAATCGTGGCTTCTCTATTCCAGCGTGAGCTCAGCCAATCCGGGAGCTTGACAGTAATCCTTTGGTTTTCCACACAGTCGTTGAGAGATTGTAGACCTTGAACATATGGCATAGCTGCTTCAACACTGATCAAGAAATCAACAAACTCACGAAGATTTTCACTGTCTTTGGGGGCGATTTTATGCCATGCATGTATCTTGTCCCGATATGACTTGGCAACTATGAATGGATTACCAAATCTTTCTTCAAGTACATTCCAGGCAGCACGATAAGCTGCTTCTGTTCCTACAAGGAAATGGCCTTCAATAGCTCTCTTGGCTGAGCCGCCGACATACCTGCGTAGAAAGAAGAGCTTTTCTTGAGTTAGCAGGTTCTTGCGATCAATCAGAGTAGCAAAGGAAAGCTTCCAATCGTTGTACTTGAGAGGATCTCCTTTGAAAACTTCAGGTTCTGGAATAGGAAATCGATTAGCTGTGATTGCTTCAGCTAGAGTTCTCACAAGATCATTGGAAGTTTCATGAGAAGTAAACAGAGCCTGAGTGGTTGGTGCTTGTTGCATAAGTGGAAGTGCAGTTGGAGTGATGACTTGACTTACAGGGACTTGAGAAAATGTGTCTGGCTGTGGAGCAGAACATGAGGTATACATGGAGGGATATGGGATTGGGTTTTTAGCGGCTGTGACCTCATGTGGGTGATGGACTTGACTGGACTTGGCTTGTTGCACAGGAAGAGCTTGGGAGACTGGTGCTTGATAGGAGGGGAAAAATGGATCCATTAAAGGGTTAAGTGCAAGTGGTGGATCGACAGATTCTGAATAAACCTGCAGTCTTGCTTGAGCTGCAACATGCCCTTTAAGTTCTTCTAGCCGCTCTACTTCTCTTCTTTTCCCTTCCAGCTTTATTTTTCTATCAGCACTTTCTGCTATAAACTGAGCTCTTTTTTTAGCACTTTCTGCTTCAATTTCCCTTTCTTTAGCTTCTCTTTCAGCCTTCAAGATTTGGTCTTCCACCTCAAGTCTTTGAATTTCTTCTTTCTGCTGACGTTGTGCATTTGTTATCTTTATCACCTCTTGCGTAGCTACAACTTCAGCTGCCGCTTGTTTTGCATTAAGGGACAGGATGGAAGAGTGTCTGGATACTTTGGAAGAAGCCTTTGACTTAGCGGTTTGAACTGAGGAAACACTAGATACGGTGCTGTCAAACACTGACTTAGCATCAGGCCAAGATATGAATTCTGAATCATCACCACTGCGGAAATGTTGAACATTTGTATTTGCAATCCTAGTGAATGCCTGGCATGTATCATTCATTCTTCGAATGTCAGGTTCAGGACTTGAAATGGCTCTTATTTTGAGGTAAGTATTGTCCATGTCAACTTGGATGGTATTGATTGCATTTATAATCTCATCAATCAGATCATCAGCATCATTATTCTTAATGGACCGTTTTAAGCCATTGATGTGATACTTCCACCTTCTGTACATCTTTACAAAACTCGCATTTAGATCCTTCGTTTTTTCATCTAACAGAGCCTTTCCCTTTTCAGTTAGCCTTTGTGTACGTCCAGATTTCCTAATTACAGGAGGCAGTTGTGTGTCATCTTCACCAACCTGAGATTGTATGTCCTGCACTGTGTCTTCAACTTGCTTAACAGCGTCAGCTTGCTGTGATAGGGTCGTTTGCTCTGCTTCACTGTCCTCTTGAAGGTCTCCATGACTGACCTTTTCAGTTGGAGGAAAAGTGTATTCTTTTGAGCGCGACATATTGAATGTACAGCTTTAAATGTGTCAAAATTTGAATAAATGTATTCTAAACTCTAATGTGTGCAACTATAAAATAGCATAAAATGTTGAAAAATAAAATATAAATCTCTTTGATTACCTTAACTTTACCTCTGAAAACTGCACAATAAACACTACAGTTTCATAATAACACACTTCAATGACCGAGTAATAAAGAGGCAATTAACAGTGTAAAAATAAATACCTCTTGGCAAAGTCTACATATGAAAACTCACTTGTATGCAAAATACTTTGATATTAACTTAAACCATCTTAGATTCAACTGGGGAAGGTTACATTTACTTATCTACTTAGTTTCTTGGATTCTTATTAGATAACCAACTGCAGGAAAAGGAATGTCCAATGCCACTTTAAGAAAAAAAAACCCACATTAAATGTCCGTGAGCAATTATGGCAGTACTTGCGCTACTATCGAGACAGTTCTCGTCGACGTGCTCGCTTGTGTAGCCTTGTCTGCTTGCCCTTTGAAGTCACACGAACAGTTCACGTGGCCTCTCCATTACCGCACGTGGCCTGCAGCTAGTCCGTCTTCATCCGCTCGGAGCCTTTCCCGAAACAGAAGTGTTCTACTGTGCCGCCCATTGATTGATTGCGAGACTCCGGTTTCCTTAACAGATGTTTATTAACACCGTAGAACTAAAAGTTCAGATAAACAAACAAAAGACAACATAAAACATTGCAATCAATTGCATGGATCACATGGCTTGCACTGAAGCTAAAGAATACAGAAAAATACTGACCACTTTAGCCTGCTTCTCAATCAACAGCAGAGTCATTCCCCAGAAGCAATCTTCATAGTCAAAATATGATTCTTCAACTTGTACACATTTACAGCAAACACCATGAAAAATTAAGCAACAATAAAGAAAAACTAGAAGATGCCATCACCGACACATGTGCGCGTTAACCTCGTCTGCCGCACACTGCGTTTTCTTCGTCTGTAGCTCACTGTGCAACAGACCTTCCTTCCGGTTTTACTCATGTCAAAATAAAAGTAAGTATTTTTAAAATAAATACAAAAAAAAAACACGGCTGCATTTACAGCAATAATTATCATTTAATTTCATTGTAAATATTCTGCTAATATTTTATATCTCATTATAATCTCTGCAGAAATGCACAGAGTTTGCCATCATTCTGATTTCAATGAGCTTTTATCAGTTTTGAAAGCATGTGTTTGCATTGGAGAAATCTGCTGTGAATATATTGTGTTTTGCAGATGGTGAAGTATGAATGATAAAAGTGTTCATGGATTTTGGGAAATGTGGTCATTGAATGCATTCTGTGTGAAAGAAGTGAAAAATGATTGAGTTTGGGAGAGACTTCTGGTTCTTCAGTATCGACCGATGCTTGTTAGCAATTGATAAAACTGTAATATACACATTTATTATTACGTGTTATTTCAGTAGCAGAAGTTCAGCTTTATTCATTAAAATTAAAATAAGAGTCTCTGTAATATCTCACTTTTACTGATTTGTCATAAAGCTCAAAGTATTATGAGTAAAATCTCTCTAAAGTCTATTCTGAAACATCAACACAGTTTCACTGATCCAGAATGAACCCAAAACCCAGGATAGAGCGGCTGAGTGAATGTGGTCTTGACTGTGTGGATGAGGCTCATTGTGTCAGAGACGCTGTAGAAGGACAGAGTTCCTGCACTGTGATCCACACACACTCCTATTCTTCTGCCGATGGGCTTTACAGGGAGAGGAGTGTGTTTCTTATTGTGCCAGAATGTGTAACTGGAGGAAATGCAGAACAAACTCCAGGACTGATCATTACATCCAAACGCACACTCATAACCCCATCCCTTCCTGCTGATGCTCTTATATGACACTGATATATACACTTGTCCAGTCCACTCAATCTCCCAGTAACAGCGTCCACACACACTCTCTCTACACAACACCTGAGGATAACACTCAAATCTGTCTGGATGATCAGGATACGGCTGCTGTGTGTCAGTGTCAGTAATAACTCTGTTCCTCTCAGACAGATGGAGGTGTTTATTCACTGTGTTCAGATCCAGAGTGAGCTGATGGGAATCTGATGGAGAGAAAACACATCAGAAACAGGAATTATAGACAGATATCCTGAGCAAATCCTCATTTACATGATCAATTCTAAAACTCTTCTATCATGATTTATTTCTCCTTCTACAGGAAGAACATGAACACACTCAGTGAGTTTTCCTGCTTGTTTTCTAGTGACTCACATTGTAGGAAGTCGTTCCTGGTCTTGGGATTCATGTTGGTGAAAGTGACTGTGGAAATAAACAGACATGAACAGTGTGAAGAGAAATGACAGATCAAATACATTCATTTCTAATATAATGCTGTATGATATTAGATGATGGACTCATTTCTGAGAGCTGATGAATAATCTCCAGGGGCTTCATTTATAAAACACACACATCGGATTGATCCGTTCATCCGATTGTTCAGATTTGGGCTCTTTCTCACACGTGTGTATAAAGGAGGCGCAGGACTTTACCTCCGTCTGAGATCTTCTTGATCTCCTCTTTGCAGAAATCCTCCAGTTTGTCTCTCAGCTGACGGACAGATTCTCTCACGCCATCAAAAGAGGAGAGAGAACCGAAGGGAACGTCGGTTCGTCTGTAGATTCAGGAGGAGCTGAGAGAGACTGGAAACTCTACAGAAAACACAAATCAAAACTCATCATCTCCACACTTCAGCCAATAACCTGCACTATATCAGATCTGTGCGGCTCTTGTAGACTTGACTTCTCTTCAGTGACTCGCTTCAATCCAGCACTTTCACACAATCAGCTCATTTTTAATGGTCCATTTCCCAGGACTTTGTAAGTGCGTCTCTTTAAACAGAAGATGATCAGATGAGCGTCTGACTGATGATTATATGATAACACACACACTCGACTGAATCTGACTGAATTCCTGACAACATCTCAGTCAACGGCTCATTCTGCTCTCATCAAATGTTTCTCTGTCATAGCAGGATCTTGCTCAAGTCACTATGATCCTGTTCTCCTAGATCTCTGTTACCTGCAGGAACTGGATGTGATCTTGTGTGTGTGAAAGCTGCTCCAGCTCAGCGTCTCTCCTCCTCAGATCATTGATCTCCTGCTCCAGTCGCTCCAGTCGTCCTTCAGCTCGACTCACTGCAGTCTTTTCCTGATCTCTGATCCGCTGTGTCGCCTCAGAGCGGCTTCTCTCAATGGAGCGGATGATCTCAGTGAAGATCTTCTCACTGTCCTCCACTGCTGTGTGTGCAGAGCGCTGTTACACACACATCACAATCACACAGTGAGTTCAGCGAGTCCAAACTGAGACGTCTCACACTTCTCTTCTTCTCCAGACTCACCTTATGAGACTCCACATCCTCTCTCAGCTGATGAAGATCTTTCTGTCTCTGCTGGATTCTCTGACGGATCTTCATCTGCGTCTCCTTCAGCTGTTTCTGGAGGACAAACCAATGAAAGCAAATGACACATAAAACTACTGTCACACAATAAGGGTTGAAGATCTACTATCACACTAATACAACTAATAAAACTACTATCACACAATAAGGGTTGAAGATCTAGCATGGCAAGTTTACACTGTAGTTCAAACCACAGATCAGTGAAGTTTGATGTTATTGACGTCATCATCTTTGATTTGGGCTCTGCGTACATGACCAATGATTTGATTTGATTTGTGAATCCAAATTGGTCCTTTAAAAAAAATAAGTACTTTTAAAAGTAGCATTCCTTTAAACATGTGCATGTAAATAATATACTTTAAAAGAATATACTTAAATTTGAACTGAACATAACAGGGAATTATTAAGTATTTCTTCATAATAATGTAATTTCATAATTGCTTTTAAAAATATATTTAAAGTGTACTGTCATGTAGAGACAAGCAATTATGATAAACTAAAATATACTGTAATAATGAAGTTGTACATATAAAAATATATTAACTTTAATATGGTGAATAACAGTTGTGATTATAATCAAGTACTTTACATGTTAGTCAACACATCAAAATAAGTGCACTTCTTTAAAGCACGACAAAAGAGTCACGTAAATATTGTTAAAATGTATTTTAAAGTATTTTTTTAATTTGACATTACAAAGTGTATTTATAAAGTGAAAGTCATGAAAATGTACTTTCTTTACTTAAGTGGCCTTTCATTTCATTAATTTTATATTATCTCCAAGTACAGTTTTATTTTTTTTAAATATACTTTTAATTTGAAGAACACTATACTGTAAGTGCATGCAAATACAATTAATCATATTTCTTTTTTACCCACTAGTTTATTTGTTTTTTTTAGATTACTTATATGCTTTTTCTCCTATTTGGAGCTTGAAACTTTTGTTCCCCATTGACTTTTAATGTATAGACCAAAATTGATATTTAGACATTCTTCAAAACTTCATCTTTACAATCTACAGAAGAAACTCAGTCAAACCGGTTTGAGACAACATGAGTAAATGAGTGAGTAAATAAAGACACTTTCATTTCTGCGTGATCAATCTCTCTCAGTTCATACCTGTTTCTCTGTCCTCTGTGCTGCAGTTGATACAGTGTTGTGGTTTTTATGTTCACTCTCTTTACACCACACACAGATGCACTGTTGATCAGTGATACAGAACATTTCTAGCTCTTTATCATGTTTACGGCAGATCATGTCCTGCAGTCGTCCAGTGGCATCAATCACTTTGTGTGGTTTACGAGAGTGAAATTCCTCATGACGGTCAAAATGAGTTTGACAGTAAGACTCCTGACACACCAGACAGGACTTGACGGCTTTGTGTTTTCTTCCAGTACAGACGTCACACTCCACGTCTCCAGCTCCAGCGTAACAGTCAGCAGGAAGTTTAGTCTTCTTCAGTTTCTCCACCAGTTCAGCCAGAATGGTGTTTTTCCCTAAAGCAGGTCTTGGACTGAAGGTCTGTCTGCACTGAGGGCAGCTGTAGACGCTCTTCTCATCCTCCTGATCCCAGCAGTCTGTAATACAGATCTTACAGTAACTGTGTCCACAGTGGATAGTCACTGGATCCTTCAGGAGATCCAGACACACTGAACACATGAACTCATCCTGAGAAAATCTGGCTTCAGCCATTTTACTGCACTGATATAGAGAGACACAAACACACAACAGCTCAACAATACTTCAGTTTCGTTTTCTCTGAACTGAAGAGTTAAAATAGTTTCCTGCTTCTGTGTTTGAGTGACGTGGCAAAATAGGCGTGTCTGGAAAGCAGCTTCCTCTTCACACACACACACACACACACAAGAGTAGCATGAAGCTGCAGACTCGGAGACCTGCACCTACACTCCCCCTGCACCCAGAGTCCCGCATTCTCAGACCCCCTGTTTTTCGAGACAGCGCCTCCTATCAAATTATATCGGATAATCATGTGAAGAACATGTGAAGAATTAAGCCAAAACGTGAGTAGGCTATCTTCAATTTTATTTAGCGAATCGTAGTAGCCTACTCGTTTGATTTATTTTTTAATAAAACTA